TAGTAATTTGTAAACGTTAAAATAATAAGCCATAAATATGAGAATCTGTTTGTTTGTTTGTCTGTGTTTAGCTTAATATAAAATACATTAATTTTGGGCTTAACTAAATTAGAAAAATACACTTGTTTCTAAATTATTATTTTCCCTTTTACTGAGATCGATTACTTATATATATGTATATCGTATGAAATCTGAATTTTGGAGATACAAGTAAATCAGTGACTGGTTTTAACTAGAAAACTATTGAAAACTAGATACTCTTATATAAAACTGTTTGATTATATTGTAAGACTGTGTATCGGTGAGCAATCATAATATAACCAAGGATCTTTGAGATTCGTGGCCATTGTAGTACATTTGAATTACTGTTCAAAGTTACACATTCTCATCTTCAAATTATTCCAGAGTCAGTCAGTTAGATGCAACGTAGAACTTCGTACGTACGTAAGTACATCAGTTCATGTTGCCATACCACATTATTAGCACAGAGATGTAATTGTCAATTCAAATCCAATATTAGTAGAGGTAGTAAATGTGTTTGCAATAATTGGAGAGGTTAGGATTAGAAGATATTATTCAAGAAGTATGATTTAGTGAGAAAAGTTTAGAAAGTCAAAACTAGAGTTGTTGAAGAATCCAGAAGATTAGGATTTGAGAGGACACAAAGAATAAATGCACCGGTGCCATTGCGAACGATTTTGAGCCATGTCATTCAGAGTCTCTAACCATCGATTATTATCATCTCGCGGACCCCAACCAGGTAGTCGACAATTACCCACATGGCTAAGTCCACTTGTCAATGACTTCATGGATTTCTGCCATGTTTTGGTTTGGCCGCCCCTAAATTTCTTCCAACCTACTCCTACACTAAAAAACAATGCTCATCGAGCCAGTTGGTTGTGAGACATTCGTAACATATGTCCCAACCACCTCAACTGATGAAGTGTCACTACTGCGTATATTGATATGACATCCTTACCTAGCACCCGTTTCCTAATAATAGCGTTGCTCACTCGAGTGACCCACGATATACGAGCAATGCTTTGAAGACACCTGTGATCGAAAACCAATGACCTAAGAATATCTTCTACTCTCACTGGCCATGTTTCACAGCCATAAAGGAAGACGGAGCGAACCACTACACAGTACACTCGTCCTTTAGTCAGCAAACGGATTTCTCGCCTACGCCATAAGTGACGTATGCCTAACCACTGACTACCTCGACGAGCTAGGTTTTGTGGTGTAGGGGTAAGCTGGAAGAAAGGTAGAGGCGGCCAAATCAAAACATGGCACAAATCCATGAAGTCACTGACAAGTGAAGTCGGCCATGTTGGTAGGTGTAGGCTACCTGTTTAGAGTCCGTGAGACGATAGTAACCGATGGTTAGAAACCTTGAACGACATGACTCAAAAGTGTTTTTGGCGGTGCCGGTGCATCGACTCTTTGTGTTCTGTCAAATCGTAATCTTCTAAATTCCTCTTCACCTCCAACTTTTTCCTTTTATACTCATTTCACTGAATTATACTTCTCGAATCATATCTTCGAACCCTAATCTTTTCTGTTACCACTAATATTGTTACTATCTCGACTGCTGTTTGTTTTGAAATGACAGTTCGATTTCTCTACTCTAATGTGGTATGGCAATTTGAACGTTCGTACGAGGTTCTACGTTGTAACTGATTGACTGAGGACATACTGTTCGTCTCTCATCGATGGCTATCAGTGATGTTTATTTCACTCATGATTGTTTACACACTGTACATTAACTAGGGAGCAAGCACTATATACCACTCTGAGAGGCTTGAATATTCCAAGTTGGTTCTCTACCAGGGTCATGTTTGCACATTCTTGTGGAATCCTGTTCTAAGTTGAAACAATTATCCAGTCTTCTCTAGTTTATAACAGCTAAGCGTAGCTTATAGTACATACTTTCTTCACAAATCTCTAATCATATATGATGTCATTTTGTAGTACATTCTTTCAACTGTTTATTCTTTTGATCTTGTTTTCTTGTTTTCGTGTAGTCACGTGATGAAGTGGTTTTGTTTAACGTTGTCATCAGTCCTTTTTTAAAAAAAGGCTTCTTCTAATTGTTTATGTTAAATATTGACAAATTATTAATTCTTACGTTCACAATGTTCGGTTTCACTGGTAAACTAACTATACTGAGTAGTTGAAATGATGGACCGATCAATGTTAGATCACCATTGGCAACGTGAAAGCACTAGGCGGCCGTATAGGATTCATCAGCACTGCGCATCCACGACCCCCCAAGAGAAAAATGAACTGAGAACCTTCGGGTCTCATGTGCAAATGGCTTTGTTAAATCATATCAATCTAATACTTCTAATAACTGTCGTTTTCTGATTCCAATCAGCTAACATGTAACTCGGCTGTATTTACCAAACATTTTGAACTATATGTTCTATCAGTAACTTTTACTTACTTACGCCTGTTACCCCCAATGGAGCAGAGGCTACCGACTAGCGTTCTTCAACCTACTCTGTCCTAGACCTTCCCTTCCAGTTCTGTCCAATTTTTTTTTCATTCTTTTCATGTCTGTCTCCATTTTTCAGCTTATTGCGTTCCTTAGGCCTTCCTCCTTTCCTTTCGCCTTGAGGATTCCAGGTTAGCGCCTGCCTTGTGACGCATTTTGGTGCTCTCCTCAATGTGTTTCCTATCTACCTATAGTGCTTCTTACTCTTGAATCTAGTTTGTTCTCTCCCACATTAGGGTGTTGCATATGGTGTGTTTGGCCAACGAATCCAAAGTATTTTGCATAGACATATTATTGTTCTGTCCACACTCACTATCAAATGCATTCTCATAGATAGTCAATGCACTTTTCCTACTTCAGTGTGAAAAGTTTCTATTTTAATGAATCTCAATCTTTATTTCTATTCATTTTGGATTTCTGTTTTTAAAGCAGTAAGCGTCCAGCTGTTCAGTGTTTTAGTGTTCCGTTTAGTAGTAGATCACATGATCTATAATTAAACTGACAGTTATGGTTTCGCTTTGATATCAAACTCAGGCTTTTTTTAGTGCACAATTATTCTTCTCGACATTTACAGAATACATAAATTATTGTATGTTAGTTATTTCTCAAAAATATTTATTTTTACCGAAGATAATAAAAATTATTTATTGAAATGATGAATTGATCATTGTTAGACTGTCATTAGAAATGTTGAAGCACTTGATGGCTGTCTCATCCTAATGTGGGATTCATCAGCAGTAGTGCACTTCTATGAACTTGTGAACGGGAATCAAACCTCTCTAGACCGACTAAGCCGGCGTTTAATAGTGTTAATGTCCAACTTTGATCAATCAATACAAGGTTTTGCGTAACCTCAACCTAATGTTTTCGGTAGGTAATTAGCTACAGAGTTGAACTCTACTGGTCACAGCGTCTCACTTAGATTCTGAGAATTTCCTCTCAAAGCTAGACACTAGTGAACACACATTTTAAGGATTTTCATTAAATATTTATGAAAATTGTTGAATTTCATCAAAACGATGAATCAATCACTTTTAGACCGGCTCAGTAGTTTAGTAGAGTTCAAGCATCCTGGGTTCGATTCCAGCCAGTGAGGGTCTTGGATGCTCCTTGTCGATGAGTCTTATACTAGGACATAAAGACCGTCCATTGTTTCCAGGTTTCTAATGTTGATCTAAAATGGTCAGTTCATCATATCAATGAGATTCAACAATCTTCACAACTGTTTAATAAAAAGAAATTATTTTATGAGATAAATTTTATTCTCTAAATTTTCATTCTATATATTCAAAAAATAAGACTCAAGGATGAATTCTATATATATATATATATATATATATCTGTTCGTCATTATCTCATTGGTTCTTAAGAATCTACAAGATTTTAGCTTAAAGTAATCAGAAATCTATTATTAATTCCAAATAATTTTGTTGCAACCATTAATATCATAACCTACTGTATCAGTCAATCATGGAAACAAGAGAGTTATTAAGAGATGTAAGAAGATTTTGATTGTAACCAAGTTGATCTTGTGTACTATTACGCTAGTAAGGGTGGATGTCACTTCCCGGCTGCCCACACCGTGAAGGGGTGTTGCTTGAGAGACCTGAAAAGGAAATAGGATTGACGTTGGTTTTAGCGACCTGCGAGCGTCATTACAGAGCCTGAAGGAACAACTTCTTAAGGCCGGTCACGCACGGACTTTTTAGGTGTTTTTCAACGTGTTAGCTCCGCTCTTCAAGTGGCTTTACTGCCGGAGACAAAAATCCGTGAGGTAAGGTGAGGTATGACATTTTTAGGGTCAACTTTTTCCAACCCCTCCCTTCTTTGGAAAACAGGCAGCATTTCTGCAGATGCTGGTTGTCCGAGGTAAACACTCTACTGCTGTCACACCCCCCTGTAGTCAGTAGTACAACTTCGCCCTCAGACTTTGAGTTACTGCTTTTAGTCTCGTTGTTCTCCAGTCGACCTTCCTGGTATAATAGTGTAGTGAACGAGAACACAGGTGGAGCAACCGAATTGTATTTAACGAAAATTACAGAGTTACTCAGTAAAATCGGAAAACCATATCGTAAATTGTTCATTTGCAAAATATCATTTCATCATATCGAACTGGACTGTTCCTGTTGCAAAACATCAATCCATTGTCACTCACTATTCATGCGTTTCATACAAATTCCATTGTGTTCCCCCCACTCTTCCTTTCTTGATCTTCCCCATGCTCTTCTGCTGCCAGACATTACGTTTACACTCACGTCATTTACTACTTATAAGTAGCTCGCACCACAGTAGAACCTAGAGGTACCTATGGCTGAGCCAATATTGGCTCGGTTGGATGATCACGATAAGCAAGCTCGACCACTACTTCAAGGTTGGTAGTAGCTGCTACAATCGGGTAAACTACTGTATGAACAATGATTCTGTCTGTTTATTTCTGCTTTTCATCGCAATTTATTCTCATCATCTTTCATTTTTATAAAAATTAAATTAAATTATTTTATAGACATGAAAATCAATACATCATTGATCAATGGCAACATCTGCGTCCTGGGGATTTTGTTCGTTTACACACAAATGATATCATTCCAGCGGATATTTTATTATTGGCTACATCAAATAGTACCGGGATTTGTCATATTGAAACAGCTAATTTAGATGGTGAATCCAATTTGAAACAACGTGAAATTATATCCAATTGGTCGAATAAAGTAAGTTAGAAAGAAATTCATTAGTTGATCAAAGGCAGATCACCACCATTAAAACCCTGAAATCGTTTCGTCCTAGTATACGTTTCATCAAAGGAGATGGGCCTACTGCGCAGCAGTTCGCTCTCTTCTACTATATGGATGCGGAATATGGCCGTTAAGCGTAGAGGATATTCTTAGGTCACTAGTATTCGATCATAGTGTGGTGCGAGCTACTTATAAGTAGTATACGACGTGAGCATCAACGTAATCTGGCAGCAGAAGATGGGGGAAGATCAAGAAGGGAAGAGTTAGAAAACAATGGAATTTGTATGAAACGCATGAACAGTGACGATGGATTGATGTTTTGCGACAGGAACAGTCCAGCTCGATATGATGAACTGATATTTTGCAAATTAACGATTTACGATTTGGTGTTCCGATTTTACTGAGTAACCCTGTATTTTCCGTTAAATACAATTCGGTTGCCCTCACCGGTGTTCTCCTTCACTACAATAGGTGTCTTGGAAGCAGTGCTTGTGTATCATGGGACATCCGAGTGAGCAATGCAGTTGTTAAGAAACGAGTACCAGGTAGGGATGGCAAATCAATGGATGTAGTATTGAAACTTGATCAGTATAGGTGATTGGGACATGTGTTACGTATGCCCAACCACTGACTGCCTCGTGGAGCTATATTTTGTGGTGTAGGAGTAGGTTGGAAGAAAGCTAAGAGTGGCCAAATTAAAACATGGTGGAAATCCATGAAGTCACTGACAAGTGGATTGAGTCATGTCGGTAGGTGTCGACTACCTGGTTGGGGTCCGGGTAAAGATAGTAATCGATGATTAGAGACTCTGAATGACATGCCCCGGAACACTTATGTACCAAGTTCTACGTTGTAACTAACTGACTGACTGGTGTTTTCTCTATTGATGAAAAGAAATATTGTTTCATTGATTTGGTTTATTGACATTTTATACTAACCAAAATGATCAACTTACATATATTAATCTTTGATAATGGAATATTGTGTAGGGAAGGTAAAATCCCTTGCGACGTCGTTTCATTAAACATTTCTAACTTGTTTTTGAAACCATGAATCGATCAATGTTAGACCACCATTAGAAACCTGGAAGCACTGGACGGCCGTTTCGTCCTGGTATGGGACGCCTCAGCAACAATCTTCACAACCCCGTAATGCAAATTACCTGTGCTCAATGGTGACTAGCTTCGTGAGGAATCTTCTCCGAGTTCTAGTGAGTGGGAAGACGTGACCAGTGAAGTTCAACCTGTTCGGATGTAGACAGTGACTACCGAAGACTGTGTATGAGTTTGCTCAACTCCATGAATTCGATCAAGTTAGACATTAACACCGTTAGATAGCGGACCAGTGGTCCAGAGGTTAGCCGTTCACGCACAAGACCGGAGGTTCTGGGTTCGAACCCTACGGGGTTCAGAAGTCGTGGATGCGCACTACTGATGAGTCCTATACCAGGACGAAACGGCTATCCAGTGCTTCCAGGTTTCTAATGGTAGTCTAACATCGGTCGATTCATGGTTTCAAAAATGTGTAACTTAACAATCTTCACAACCCCGTAATTCAGATTTCTAACTTGTATCATACGGTTTTATTTATTTGTATACACTGAAAGTTATTCTTAATACAAATATATTCGAAATTGTTTCATCTTTTTGAGTTTCATACAACTCTTATCGTCCAATATGAGGTTATCAATTAAATACGTTGATTATTACATTGCATGTATTTTAGACTGTACAATCTGTTATCAAATAAAGCTTGTTATTAGTGTCTTATGTTAATTTACTTTTGATATAGTGCTCGTTAAATTCACCGGTCTACACCAAATTAACATAGCTTAGTCCATTTGTCAATGGCTTCATGGATTTGTGCCATGTTTTGGTTTGACTGCCTCTAACCTTTCTTCCAGCCTATTCCTACATCATCAAACATCATTGCACGTCGATGTAACGAGTGATTAGGCATATATAGCACATGTTCAAACCGCATCGACTGGTAAAGACTCAATACTTTATCAATTCATTTGCTAGCCTTAACTAGTACTCGTTTCCTAACTACTGCATTGCTTACTCGGTTGTCACAGGATACACAAGCAACGCTTTGATGACATCTATAGTCAAATACTAAAAGCCTATGAATATGCTTTATTTCTAGTGGATATGTTTCACACCCGTTAAGTAGGACCGAGTGAACTGCTGCTCATTGAACTTGTCCTATGGCTAACAGACGGATATTTCGCCTACACCGATAAGTGATACAAGTTGGCAGTAACCATTCGAGCCTTCTGTATCTGTGCTGAGATTTCATCACACAGCAGGTTATCAAGACTGATGAGATTCTCTAGTGAAGCAGTCAACACTCTTAACTAATTCACTCCCTATCACTAGTTCAGGTGCTGATGCAAGTCAATCCTAAAGCAACATTTTGCATTTCAAGGGGAGAGAATTGCATCCCAGAAAATATAATGAGAAATCTTATTTAAAATATCATCTGTCATTAATAGCTTATCAGAGTGTTGGGGACGTTAGATCCCCGGAACTCGCATGATAAATGCCTCATTTTGAATTTCATGTTCGCCAGCATGGGCTGATCAGATGACCTTGAGATTTCATTTCCCACCAGGGAAATCCATGGCTGTGATTGGCTGTTGTGTATTTTAGTGTGCGATTTTTGTGACTGTCTCAAGGACGTTTCTATGATGTATAAATAAACGCGATTTGTGTGCTTGGTTTCAGTGTGTGCTTGTTGGGTGTTTGTAGAATATACTTCCTACGCTATATCAAGACAACTTGCTAGTACATTTGGGTCAAGGGATGAGGGTAGCCTACCTGGACACTGGTTCATTGTTTCGTTCGCGTTTATCGACTAAGGTGAACCCGTCATAGTTTTAAGCATACACAGAGAGGTTGAGGTAACTTAAAAATATGAAACAATAAACCTTGATTAATCGAATAGTCTTTATGTAGCAAATATTACTATCTTTTTCAAAAAAATTTATTTCCAGGAAGAATTTTCACCGCTGACATTTCTTTATCCAATTGAAGTAGAAGCTCCAAGTGCTGAATTGTATAAATTTCATGGGAAAATGTAAGTTATGTAATATATATATTGACTTTATTTTGTAATTGGTTACGAATATTTGTTAAAAAAATATTCAAGTTTTGTTACACTCGTTTCCAAGTATGCATAAAACTATTACGGGTTCACCTTAGTCGAATGACGAGAACAAAACAATGAACCAGCGTCCAGGTAGGCTACCCTCATCCCTTGACCCAAATGTACTAGCAAGAAGTGTTGATATAGCGTAGGAAGTGTATTCTACAAACACCCAACCAGCACACAGTGAATTCAAGTACACAAATCGCGTTTATTTATCCACCATAGAGACGTCCTTGGGAGAGTCACAAAACAGCACACTAAAATAACACAGTAACCAATCACAGCCAAGGATTCTCCTGGTGAGAAATGTGATCTCAAGGTCAACTGATCAGCCAATGAAATAAATCCAAAATAAAGACGCTTATCAAGCGAGTTGTGGGGATCTAATATCCCCAAAAATGACAGACACTGACTTATTATTCAATGTACAATAACAAAATGAAAGATATTGACTTTTTAAAATGGAATACTATATTGAGTAGAAATTGACTATATGTAAGCAGCAAAATAAAAACAAATCGGCTAGCTTCATCAACAAAAACGTCTTATCAAATCTAAGCTACAGAATCTATCTTTTCATTGTATACAGCGTTCATTTCATTGTATAAGCTTTCGCGCTCAAGACTGAAGGTCTACGGTTCGAATCCTGCCTGGAGTAGGAGTCATGGACGCTCACTGCTGACGAGTCCCATACTAGGAAGAAACCGCTATCCAATGCTTACAGGTTTAACGATGATTGATCGATGATTTCGAATCTAAACAACTATTTCCATAATTCTATCATGAAAAAAGATGTAAGACCTGGAACCTGAAAGCTGTGAATGGCTGTTTCTTCCTAGTATATGGGACTCATCGACAAGGAGAAGACGTAATCGATCCAAAAGAATGTGATATATTTGCGATGTTTTGTGTGGCCAGGCCAAAATATGGCAAAAATTCATGAATTCACTGACAAGTGGACTGAGTCATGTTGATAAGTGTAGACTACATCCTGGTTGGCGTCTTCGAGACAGCAATAACCGATGGTTAGAGACTTTGAATGACATGGCTAAAAAATCGTTTGTAATGGCTCAGGTGCATCCACTCTTTGTGTTCTCTAAAATTCTCTGAAATTCAACACCTCTATCTTCATCTTCCTGAATTTATTTCACTGAATTACACTTCTTGAATTATATCTTCGAACCCATTACCGCTTATACTTCTACTGCCTCTACTACTATGGGATTTGAATTGACAATTGCGTCTCTGTGCTAATGTGGTATGGCAGCTTGAGCCGATCGATGTACGTACTCACAAATTTCTACGTTGTTGATGACTGACTCTGGTCACTTGTGTGGACTGTGCAGTCTTCCTACTGACCTTGGATATCTTGGTCTAGTTAGCTAGGCTTGATAGCAGAGAATAACCTAGCCGATTTGTTATTGTATCCCTCAATGGTTTGCGTTCTGTTCACCGAGCAGCATTTTCAAGCCTACTCTTTTCTGGGCTTCTCTTTCCAGTTCTATCCAATTTTTGTGCATTCTTTGCATGTCTGTCTCTATTTCTTGGCGTAATGTTTTCCTTGACCTTTCTATTTTCCTTTGACCTTGAGGATTCCAAATGAGAGTTTGTCTTGTGATGCAGTTGGGTACTTTCTTTCACGTGTATCCTATCCACTTCCAGCGTTGTTTTCCGATTTGTTCCTTCGCTGGAATTTGGTTTGTTCTCTCCCACAGTACGCAGATAAGCATAACAAATAGGCGGGAAATAAATACGTTTGGTATAATAATAACGATCATAATTAAGATTTGGAGAAGTGATAACTTCCAATATCGATTTATCGATTATTATTATGATATATGGTTTCAAAAATGTGTAACTTACTAATCTTCACAACCCGGTAATGCAATTACCTTTACTTAGTAGTAACCAGCTCCGTGAGGAATCCTCCTGGAGTTCTAGTGGTGGGAAGTCGTGGCCAGTGAAGTTCAACCTGTTCGGGTGTAGGCAGTAACTACCGGAGACTGTGTATGAGTTTGTGAAACTCCGTGAATTGATCAAGTTAGACGTTAATACCGTTTGTTAGATACCGGCTCAGTGGTTCAGAGGTTAGGCGTTCACGCACAAGACCGAAGGTCCTGGGTTCGAATCCTGCGGGGTTCAGGAGTCGTGGATGCGCACTGCTACTGATGAGTCCTATACCGGGACGAATTGGCCGTGTTTCAGTGCTTCCAGGTTCCTAATAGTGGTCTAACTTTGATCGATTCATGATTGCAAATGTATTATTACTTAACAATCTTCACAACCCCATATGTGTATACCGTTTGTTATGGGCTCTTGATTAACTTATCAGCTAATTTTGTATGATTTACTGTTGATACTCATTTGTGAGTTTATCATTTCATAGGCGTACCTACCTATTCCCAGCTACTTTTGGCTTACTGCAGTAAACATCGCTATATTTTCCCATTTCATGATGTATCGTAAAGTCTAGTATACATGTATATAAACATTATCTACCGGGAAATATAATTATTAGTAGAGGCTGATTTACAGACATCTGAACCAAAAGAGGTAGGGTAGAGAGGAAGAAGCTGTAGAGTGAAGGATCACTAAGGTTTTAGAGTTAACTCAATGTTACATACCTACACCTGTTACCCACCAATGGAGCATAGGCCACCGATCAGTATTCTTTTTTCTTTTTGAAACAAATAAGAAAAAGAACTTTGCCTGGATTGTCTCTTTGGAGCTACTGGCGGTCTCAAGCCCCGGATAAAGGAGTAGGGTTGGGCCCGTCGGCTTAACGACCCCACCCCGTAGAAAGCTAACTCCCTAAAAAAACGCTAACCAGAAAATATTGGAAAACCAATCCAAACTCAAGGTTATTGTTTTTAAAACGAAATCCGGATTGGTGCTTCGTCTGGTCACGTGAAACTGGCCAGCAGTGGATGGCAATAGAAGATTGTCCACTACTGATTTGTAGCGAGTGAAGTCAATGAATAGGATGTTTTCTTTCATTTAATGTAAACTATTACACATTATCTATTAATCTTGCTCTATTATTTTCTTACTTTTCAAGTCTACTTCCAGAAACACGAATTCCAATTCGTAAGAATAATATGCTACTCAGAGGTTGTGTATTACGCAACACAGATTATGTCATCGGTATTGTTATATATGCTGGTAAGTTTTAGGTGAATATTGATTTATTTATGCTCCTTGAATAATATCCTCGAACCTTATTCTCTCCGATTATAGCTAATACTTCTACTAGTGATTTTGAAGTGATAATTGCGTCTCTGTGCTAATGTGGTATGGCCACTTGAAGTGATGTACGTACGTAAGTACGAAGTTCTGTGTTGTTGACTGACTGACTGACTAACTAACTGATTTATGCATCACACAAATTATTGAATTTTCTGATTGGGCTAAGAAACTACGCGGTTGCCTAACTCAAACCAAGTGGTACGTACGTACGAAGTTCTATGTTGTTGTTTCTGTTAGCTGACTGACTGACATATTAACAACAGTTATATTCAAACACTGTTACGCTTGTCACTTAGTATGCTTGAGGCTATTACGAGTTTACCTTAGTCCATAAACGCGAACGAGACAATAAACTAGCGTCCAGGTAGGCTACCTTGAATCCCAAGCTGCAAAACAGGAGTCTTGGTAAGCGTAGAAAGTATATTCTGCAAACACCCAGTAATCACAATACAATCAAGCATACAACTCTCGTTTATTTATACAACATAGAAACGTCCTTGAGACAGTTAAGAAAATAGCACACTAAAATACACAGCAGCCAATCACAGCCATGGATTTTCCAGGTGGGAATTGAAATCTCAAGGTCAACTGATCAGCCCATGCTGGCAAACGTGAAATCCAAAATAAGGCATTTATCAAGCGAATTTTTGGAGATCTAACATCCCCAACAAACACTTATAAAAATAACATCACCAGTTTACACATCATAATCAAACATTAAACCATAGCTTACTTACTTATGCCTGTTACCCTCGATGGAGCATAGGCCGCCGAGCAGCATTCCTAAGTCTACTCTTTTCTAGGCTTGCGTTTCCGGTTCTATCCAATTTTTGTTCATTTTTCTCATGTCAATCTCCATTATTACTCGGCGTAGGGTGTTCGTTACTTGGCCTTTCTTTTTTCCTTTGACCTTGAAAGAGTTCCAAGTGACGGCTTGTCTTGTATGTTCATTCATTTTATTGCAGTCAAGCCGGTTGCGATTTAAATATAGTTTTCTTCAATGCATGTGGCCTAAAAACCAAAAACCCTTACAACAATACCTACCGTCTTATGTATTCTTTTGACTTGTTATTTTGTTAGTAAAATATTGAATCATATCAATAAAATACTTTTATTTTTAATTAGTTAAAAGAAAAATTTACTTATTTGTCAATTATACTAACCTATGATTCATTTGTATTGGTTGTTTGAATTTTCCTATTAACTGGTTACAACTGTAATTGAGCAGTTTTTATTTGACATATATGTGTATTCTATGCAAATTGTCACGATAAATTGCCTGTAGGTTGAAAGTATTATTAACAGTGAACGAAAATGGCTTAGTGGATAATGCGATAGGTTCGAGTCCTGGGGTGATATAATCGGTAAATGAGAGCGAAGACAAATGATGCAGTGACACGATAGGCTATTCTAATCCGTTTGTCCCCGGCCGGGCTAATTATATCAAGAAGTCTTGATAAAGCGTAGAAATTGTATTTTCTACAAGCACCCAGAAAATACGAGGTCCACAAGCACACAAATCGAGTTTATTTACACATGATAGAAACGTCCTTGAGAGAGTCACAAAAATAGAGTACTAAAATAATTCATCAACCAATGACAGTCAAGAATTTTCCGAATGGGAAATGTAAGCTGAAGGTTAACTAAGTGCAGCTTATGCTCGAAATCATAAATCAAATCCAATATTAGGACCTTTTCCAAGTGAGTTCCGAGGATCTAACGTCCCCAACATGGAGTGAATATCTACTCTGGGATGCGGTGGCTACATCCAGCTAAAGATGAGTCCTCAATAGGTCGACTGGCAAATGTTTGGAATACAAGCTTTTTCATAAATAAAAATTTTAGAATTGTTTCGGAAATTCTAAGATAACAGCTGTCTTTCAGTGCTTCCACATTTCTTTCTCATGGTGGTCGAACACTGATCAATTCACGATTTCAATAATCAATAATTCTTACCATTCGGTACTTTTTTTTCATAACAAATCATAAAGTTGAATATTGGTCATAGATTAGTGAATCATGTTCACTGTCTAACAAAAGTCTCAAAGCCACTATACATTGATTGAATGTCACTTGCGTTTTTAATTCACAGTTTCTCTAAATTTATTTCATTATTTAACCCCTCATGTATTTTTCAATAAATGGTGGATAGTTCAAGTGTTGATATTGTTAAGTTCGCCACTAGGTACGCTTGAAGCTATTACGAGTTCACCTTAGTCGATAAACGCGAACGAGACAATGAACCAGCGTCCAGGTAGGCTAACTTGATCCGAAAATGGCAAAACCGAAGTCTTGATATAGCGTAGAAAGTATATTCTATAAACACCCAGCAATCACACAATACAATCAAGCATACAACTCTCGTTTATTTATACAACATAGAAACGTCCTTGGGACAGTTACGAAAATAGCAAACTAAAATACACACTAGCTAATCACAGCCAAGGATATTCGTGGTGTGGAATTGAAATCTCAAGGTCAACTGATCAGCCCATGCTCGCAAACCTGAAATCCAAAATAAGTCATTTATCAAGCGAATTTTGGGGATCTAACATCCCCAACAGACAGACATGCAATTAAATTGTTTGTATTTTTTGACTCACACTCTCTCTTCCATAATGGAAAACGGAATTGTGTTATTTCACTCGAACTAAAATGTTTTCTGTGGTTATTTTATATCATCATTCTCTGTTGACTTAATGTTGAAAATCATTAAAACACAGGAAGGAATAGTGGATAGTGATTTCATCCTAGTGTGATGAATGCTACTTACGAGATGGTCTGTAAGTAGTATATCGCGAAGCGTCGTCTAAAAATTGTTATCAATGATCAAAATGCATTTTATGAAGTGTAAAAAATTAGTGATAGGAAACACTCAGAAACTTGCTTGTACTGGAAATGAATGTCATATATAAGTACTCCAACTGGGCCTGACGTCTTTGTACGTTACACTAGTGCTAAACTCATCATTAATGGATGAGAGATCCAAATTTAAAGCTTTCAAGCCTTTCATTCAGCATATAACCTTTAGTCCACTGAGTAAGCCAATCAACCTTTAGTTCATTCTCAATATATTACACAACTATCATCTCTTGTCACTCACTCACTCACTCGTACTTTCAACTCATTAATGAGAAAGAAACCTTAAAATTATTATTACTATTATTATTATTATGTCTTCAACTAACTAACACTCAACTTACCTTTAAAAAAATCTCTAATAGTAACGTACATTTTTTAATTTAGTTTTTTCGGTTTAAGGACAACAGTCAGAACCAAAAAAAAACGATCACACTTGATAAAAAAACTTGCTTTTTATTGCTGAAATTTTTCTCTTTGAAATATAAAATAATTGCAATGATTATGTAAAAAAAAATTTGATTTTTTTTCGGTTCGCAATCAGTCAGTAGCTTTCAAGATGGGGGCCGAGACAAGATTGTTTGCTGAACAAAAATGACGGAATTATTTCCAATTCATTATTGTCACTAATAATATACTCGGTGCCATAAATTTCTGACGATAATTCCGTAGCAGTGCTCATCCACGACTCCTGCACCCCGCAGCAGTCGTGGATGCGCACTGCGACTGATGAGTCCCATATCAGGACGAAATGGCCGTGTTTCAGTGCTTCCAGGTTCCTAATGGTGGTCGAACTTTGATCAATTCATGGTTTCAAAAAAACTTAACAATCTCCACAACCTCGTAATGCAAATTACCTGTGCTCACTAGTGACTAGCTTCGTGAGGGACCTCCGAGTTCTAGTGGGGAGACGTCGTGACCAGTGAAGTTCAACCTGTTCGGGTGTAGGCAGTAATTACCAAAGACTGTGTATGTGTTTGTGCAACTCCGTGAATTGATCAAGTTAGACATTAACATCGTTAGATGCCGGCTCAGTAGTCCTATGGTTAGGCGTTCGCCTACAATACCGGAGGTCCTGGGTTCGAATGAATGCTAAGTTCAGGAGTCCTGTATGCGCACTGCGATTGATGAGTCCCATACCGGGACGAAATGGCCGTGTTTCAGTGCTTCCATGTTTCTAATGGTAGTCTAACATTGATTGATTCATGGTTTCAAAAATGTGTATCTTAACAATCTTCACAACCCCATAATTATAATTCCGTATTAAATAAATATTTATTGAAGATTAGTTTTTCAAAAAAAATGATTCTGTTTTATTTAACGCAGCTAGTTATTTATGTATGCTTGAATAATATCCCCGAATCCCAATTCTCTTCGATTAGAGCTCATATATTTACTAACTCTACTACTGTGGGATTTGAAGTGACAGTCGCGTCTTTGTGTCAATGTGATATGGCCACTTGAACTGATGTACGTACGTACGTACGAAGTTCTATGTTGTTGTTGTTGTTGTTGACTGACTGACTGACTGACTGACTAACTGATTTATGCATCACACAAATTATAGAATTTTCTGATTTGGCTAAGAAACTACGTGGTTGCCCAACTCAAACCAAGTGGTTATTCTAAACAGTCACTCCTCAAATTTTTAAACTTTAGGTTCATTTCAAAAGACATTTGATGTGCAGTATCATGATAACCGGTAATTAACAATAGGTTCTCTTTGAAATATAAAATAATCTCAACGATTAAAAAATTGATTTTTTATTGTTTTAAAATTAATCAATAACTTTTAAGATGGCCGAAACATTATTGTTTGTCGATCAAATATGGCGGAATCATTTCCACCTCATGATTTTCACAAATAATATACTCGGTGCCAAAAAAAATTCTGATAACGATTCCGTTTTAAAACACACATACTTATTTTATGGTAGTGAGAAGACTGAGGCAGGCGCTGAAGATTGTATTATGCAAATTTACACCCTGAGTCAATTAAAAACGACAACATTACATTGAGTACACTCTATTTGCACACCATCTTTGAGTCGTGACTTCCAACACTCCATCCGTCTTCCATTCCTGTTGTTGCTTCCTTTCCTCCCTGTTGGTACTCCATTTACTTCTTGACTCTGCTCCATTTGCTTTCCGTTTTCCTCTTCTGACCGTGAGACTTCTTCATTCACGTCCCTTCTTATACTACTTATATCGTTCGTATAAGTAGCACACACCACAGTAGCCGAATGAAGAAAACTAAAGAAATTAGGAAAAATATCCATTGAAATCACAAATTGATCAATGTTAGACAATCATTAGAATCATAGAATAACTGGATGACTGTTTCGTCCCAGTAAAGAACTCACCAGCCGTGCGCATCGACAACCACTTTCGCGGGAATCCAACCTCAAATCTTCAGTCTGATGATCGAACACTTAATCTCTTGACTACTGAACCGGTAGCCAATTTTAATTTTCACAAATCATAAATATCTCCCTCTGTAATAATATACTCGGTGCCATAAATTTCTTACAATGATTCCGTTGTAAAACACATACTTATTTAAGAGTTTTCTTTTTGCTAAAAATATGTATATATGTATTCTGTTTCTAATTAAATAAAGGCTGTGAAACAAAAGCAGCTATGAATAATTCTGGTGTTCGTTTCAAACGAAGCAAACTGGAAAAACAAATTAACATGGATGTCATTTGGTGTGTATTGATTTTAGTTGTAGTCTGTTCTACTGGTGCTATTGGTAAGTAAATAATTACTTGATTTTAATCAATTCTGTCTCGTGTGCTGTTACGGGTATGAAGGCGGTTGTCACTTACCGGTTGCCCACACCGTGGAAGGCTGTTTCTTGAGGGACCTGAAAAACAAGGTAGATTAGTGTCGGTCTTAGAGACCTGGGTGCGTGACCGCAGAAGAGTCCAATCGACGGTCTTCTTATGAGAAGTTCTTAGAGTATTAGCTCCGCTCCTAAAAGCCCTTAGTGGGCACCTTTACCTCTGGAGACGGAAATCCGTGAAGTAAGGTGAGGTATGACATTTTCAGAGTCGGCCTTTTCTAACCCTTCCTTCCTTGTGAGAAGGCAGCATCGCTGCAGATGCTGGTTGTCCGAGGGGAACATCTTACTGCTATCATACCCCTCTGCAGTCAGTCAGCAGTACGACTTCGCCGTCAGACCTTGAGTAGCTGCTTTTAGTCTCATCGTTCTCCAATCTACTTGCCTGGAATGGTAGAACCTTCAGGAACATATGTTGCAGCCAGTATAGCTCGGCTTAGTCATCACGATAAGCAAGCCCAACCACCATGATAAGGTAGCAGCTACGGTCGGGAAGTAAATAATTAACAATAATAATGATAAGTTTTTATCTGATCAAAGATATGATAATGATATTTGCACATTGAAATCATTAATGAATCATTGTTACTCCATCATTGGAAACCTGAAAGCACTGAAAGACGGCCGTTTCGTTCTATAGTATGGGACTCATCAGTGACAGTGTGCAACCACAACTCCTGCCCCTCACAGGATTCGAATCCAGGACCTTCGGTCTTGTGTAAACACCTAACTTAAATAATCAAACCAGTAGATAAGAAATAACCCAATAATGACGATGTTGTATTATTTTGATTCTCTTTCTTTGTTGAAAAGAATTCAATCGGTAGAATATCTGACAACTGCTACCTGTACAATAACAATCCAATTGTATATGCCTAGAAAAAACATTTTAATGACCATTCGGCATCATTTCTTATAAATTCTAGTGTTTATATTTTAGGGTATCCGAATGAAGAAAAGTAAATTCATAAAAAATATTGATTAAAATAACAAACTGATCAGTGTTAGGCAAAGATTAGAAACTTCGAAGGACTGAATGACCGTTTCATTCTAGTATGGGACTCATCGGCAGTGCGCATCCACGATCCCTGCCCGCGAAAATAGAACCGTGGAACTTGGGTATGTCACGCGAATGCTTAATCTCTTGACTACTGAGCCGGAATCCTACAGTGTTAAAAAGGTTAAGCATTCGCTTGTGAGACCGAACGTCTTGCTTTTTGGAAGTAGGTGCTCTCTACTGATGAGTTCTACACTAGGGTTTAAATCCCCGACCGTAGCTGCTACCTTGACGTGTTGGTCGGGCTTGCCTATCGTGATGACCCAATCGAGCTATATTGGCTGGAACATATGTTCCTGCAGGTCCTACCATGCCAGGCAGGTCGATTGGAGAACGATGAGACTAAAAGCAGCTACTCAAGGTCTGACGGCGAAGTCGTACTGCTGACTGACTGCAGAGGGTTATGATAGCAGTAAGATGTTCCCCTCGGACAACCAGCATTTCTCACAAGGAAGGAAGGGCTAGAAAAGGCCGACTCTGAAAATGTCATACCTCACCTTACCTCACGGATTTCCATCTCCAGGGGTAAGGGTGCCCACTAAGGGCCTTTAAGAACGGAGCTAATCCTCAAAAAACATTTCATAAAAAGGCCGTGCGTGACCGGCCTCAAGCAGTTGTCTCTTGGGCTCTGCGGTCACGCACCAACACTAATCTATCTTACTTTTCAGGTTCCTCAAGAAACAACCTTCCACGGTGTGGGCAGCCGGGAAGTGACAACCGCCCTCATACCCATAACAGCACGCGAGGGTTTAAATCATGCACTAATCTTAGCTAGGCGACTGTTTCATTATAGTATTAGACTCTTTAACATTGCATATTCACAGCATCTCAAACACGTTGATGCTTTATTAGAAATTGTAGACTCATGTTTCCTAAGGCTTGTTTTTTACCAAATTTTGTCCCAAGAGACGATAGGCATACATTTAACTAAAATCAAGTTTTTACTTTGTTAGAATATCAAATCTATCTTATTTTATCTCTAAATATGACATATACTTAACTAAACTTCTGATTTTAGGTCATGAAATGATCATTAGTAGACCATCATTAAAAACCTGGAAGCATTGCATGACCGTTTCGACCTAGTATAGAACTCATCAGTAGAGCGCGTCAACGATCACTGCTCGCGAGAATTAAACCCCGGAATATTCGGTATGGTGCGCGAACGCTTAATCTCTTAACCACTAAGTTGGTATTTAGAGGTGTAAATGTCTAACTTCGGTTAGTTCACGATCTTGCACGATCTCATCTAAGTTGCTTTTGTGCGCAAAACTGACAGTGATTGGTTCGGTTCCTGCCAAAGGGAATTGTGGATGCATACTGATGATGAGTCCGATACTTGGATAAAACAGTTGTTCAATGCTTTTAGGTTTCTAATGTTGGTCTAACATCAATTAAAACGTTCACATATAAACCATTCAAGTTACAGGAATCGGTTTCTAAAATAAAGTTGTATTGTATTGTTTTTTTTAGGTAGCGCTGTTTGGCATCAAAATTTACCAGGTGATGATGTACTCTTTGTTGCACTTGATAGAAATTCTTCCACTTCAACACCTGCTTATCAAGGATTTCTTAATTTTTGGCGATTTGTAATTATTTTTCAAGTGAGTTATTTCTAATTTATGATAAGCAAGCTATGAGAATTTATTATTTTCTGTAGTAGTGATTACTTTCATATTGCTATTAAGTTACGAGTTTTTAAGCCAGAGATGAGTAGTGTTCGGCGGTGATATTCAGAATACCGGTTACATTCTATTGGTAAATTGTCAACTAGACGTACTTGTATCTCACTGTTTTCCTCTCAAAATGCAAAATGTTGCTTCAGGATTAGGTTGCATCGGCACCTGAACTAGTAAAAGGGAGTGAAGTAGTCGAGCGTGTTGATCACTTCACTTATCTGGGTAGTCTCATCAGTGCTGATGGCCTGGTGTCTGACGAAATCTCAGCTCGGATACAGAAGGCTCGATTGGCTTTTGCCAACCTGCGTCACTTATGGCGAAGGCGAGATATCCGCCTGCTAACCAAAGGTCGAGTGAACTGCGCAGTAGTTCATTCTGTCCTACTATGTGAATGCGAAACATGGCCGTTAAGAGTAGAGGATATTCGTAGGTTACTAGTCTTCGATCATAGGTGTATCCGAAGCATCGCTCGTGTATCCTGGGACGACCCAGTAAGCAATACTATCGTTAGGAAACGAGTTATAGTTAAGGATGTCTGATCAATAGATGAAGTATTGAAACTTCATCAGTTGAGGTGGTTGGGACATGTGTTGCGTATGTCTAACCACCGACTGCCTCGACGAGCTTTGTTTTGTGGTGTAGGAATAGGTTGGAAGAAAGTTAGGGACGGTCAGACCAAAACATGGCAGAAATCCATGAAATCACTGACAAGTGGACTGAGTCATGTCGGTAGTTGTCGACTACCTGGTTGGGGTCCGCGAGATGAGCATAATCGATAGTTAGAAACCTTGAATGACATGGCTCAAAATCGTTCGCAATGGCGCCGGTGCATTTATTCTTTGTGTTCACTCAAATCCTAATCTTCTGGATTTTTCAACACCTTTAGTTTTGACTTTCTAAACTTTTCTCACTGAATCATACTTCTTGAATAATATCTTCTAATTACTAACCTCTCCGATTACTTCTAATACCTTTAATACACCTCTTCTACTATTGGATTTGAATTGACAATGACATCTCTGTGCTGATGTGGTTGGTATGGCGACATGAACTGATGTACTTATGTACGTACGAAGTTCTACGTTACATCTGACTGACTGACTGACTGAATGTTGCTGATGAGCCGCATACTAGGATGAAACGGCCATCCAGTGCTTTCAGGTTTCTAATGGTGTGGTCTAACATTGATCGACACATTACTAGGTAGGTAACCTTAGTTTGAAAATATATTCAATCTCTTAAAATCAGGAATTAACGTGTTAGATATATTTGATTTTCACTAAGAAATATTCAGATCAATACACATATTCTTGTACTTGGAGGTCAATCTACAAAACGAACTTCATATATATATATCAGATATCTATAATCCAGTAATAACTGTTAAAAGGCACATTCGATTGTTTCTTAATTTGCTTTTCAAAACTTTGTATATTTTAAGTTTGAGTTGTACTGCAATCAACGTATTTCACAGAAAACCAAATAGTGTTGTAAGAGGATAAATATTGAAGAAATTGCTAATTTCTGAGCTATTTTATATCTGTACATTTTTCCTATCTATGTTCCTTGATTGGCTACTAAGTTTGAAGGATTACGATGACCTCATAGGCTTTAAGTCTTTAGTTGTAGTTCATTGATCAGTATACCATTTGGTGAAATTGGTCGATTGGTCCTACTAGTTGTATAAGTGAACTAGTCGAAATCGTGACTAGACGGTAAAGCACATGATATTGGCTAGTGCTCAAATCACAACAAATCGCTGATAATAAGACAACAGGTGTACCATCTGTAGTTCATTCAGAATTGTGTAGCTAATAGCCGAAGTTCGTTGTTGAATCATTTTCATTTAGTCCCCAAATATCTTGGTACTGTCCACTCTCCTTGTGTAAATGCTCTCATATAGCCACGCACTTATAACCTCTGCCGGGGAAGCCCTACTCAGTGTCTTCTCGTAGCGGTGTTATCTACGAAGTTAAGAGAATGAAAAGCGAATCTGTGATGCATATGGGCTCCAGGATCCTGATGGAACAGAAAGCATATGGAACTATTGTTCATTAGTGGTTACCGTCTTTTAACGTTGCTCCACTACCATTTGAATTAGATCTGTGTTTCGGGGATTAATCCCTTGATAAAACTACCGGCTTCAATCAAAGCCATCATCCAGAAGATACAAGTGTTTATGAACAGTTTTCTACGCAAAATACTTCGGATTCGTTGGCCAGACACCATCAACAACAACGTACTACTGTTGGAGAGAACAAACCAGATTCCAGTGGAGGAGGAAATCAGGAATAAGCGGTGGAAGTGGATAGGACACACATTGCGGAAAGCACCTAACTGCGTCACGAGACAAGCCCTCACATGGAACCCTCAAGGCAAAAGGAAAAGAGGAAGGCCAAGGAACACAGTACGCCGAGAAATAGAGAAAGATTTGAGAGGAATGAACAAACATTGGACAGAACTGGAGAGGGAAGCCCAGAACAGAGTTGGTTGGAGAAAACTGGTGGGTGGCCTATGCTCCATTGGGGGTAACAGGCGTAAGTAAGTCAATCGACAGCCGAACAGTAATCCCAACTCATGTAGCGCATAAATATTTTGGCGACTTTTTATACCAATAATTTTGCAGTTTAAATATAATCAATAAAAATATCTTAAATGAAACTATTAAAAATGTTAAAATCGTAACCTAATATTTCATTATCATTTATCTAGTTTCTGTAAGTATTGATTCTTTTTTTAACTGTGAGATATTTCAGACAGATACAAACAGGTACAACACAGAACTTCGTACCAGTGTACATCAGTTCAGGTTGCCATACTGCATTAGCCCAAAGACGCAACTGTCAGTTCAACGATCGTAGAAGTTATTAGCAGTAATGGAGAGAAGATTAGGGTATAATTAATTCAGTGAGATAAAGTTAGAAAGAGAAAGATAGAGACGATGAGGAATTCAGAAGGTTAGAATTTGATAGAAGACAAGGAGAATGGATGCATCTGTGTCATTGTAAACGATTTTGAGTCATGTTGTCCAACGTTTCTAACCATTGATAACTTTCGTTGTTTCAGAGCAGATGGAAATAATCATTTATGTAGTGAATATTTGCATTTTGAATTCTCTCCTCTTCTCTACATTTCAAATTCATTCGTTCATTCATTCATTAACTTAAGATATGAATATGTGACTAACTAAATACTGAATTCTATCATACACTGTTTAAATATTTAGTTTGAAACTGTTAACAATGAGATCGTATATGCTAATGAAAGTGGCTAACGGAAATAGTTATTGAACTTTTCAATGGTTAGGTTAAAAAAACACAGCTAGTCATATGGCATGTAAGCTCCAGCGATTACTCCTGCAGACATGATCAAAACTGGTAATTCACATTTTATTGTGTCTATGATTTCCCCTGGGATTGAAATCAGCAACGTCAGGTTTCTCTTTAAGAACTTGAATCTCAGAGTACTGAGTCATCATCTTGACGATGTCACAACTTCACAATGTTTAACAGTGTTGTTATCCGTAAGCGAAAATCTCAAGGTCACTCAAACCAGACATTAGGGTTCATGTGTATATTTGGAAAGTTAATAATGAGTCGAGAAGTATGTTATCTAGGCAGGTTGTTTGTAAAGTGATTCGCAACACGACGTATCTCAATGTGATCTGATACTTATGCTTGATATTCAACTGGAGTCGTGTCCAGTAAAACTAATGAGGTCAGCATCCATGTTGAAGACTTTCAGAACTATTTATATTGCGGATTCCTTTACGGCTACAATCTAATGGTTTACAGTTGTAACTTAAGTTAGTTTGTGTTATCACGTGATTGTCTCCTATTTTTGTTATAAGTAACTGCCCCACAGTTGATTCGGCTAAACTTGGGGTGTTGACGCCTTATTAGGACTAGTTCTGGACCAGCGAATTTAATCCTTTATGCGATCATGAATTTTCACTGCTATGTTTTGGTTTGGTCGCCCTTAGGTTTCTTTTAGCCTGCTCCTACATTACTTGCCTACTCGATGGTCTCAGTATATATGAGCAATGCCTCGGAGACACATATGTTCGAATACTAGTAACCTGCGAATATTCTCTATTCTTAGCGGCTATGTTTCACATCCGTTTAAAAGGACGAAGCCACCTGATGCTCAATAAACTTGCCCTTCAGTTAGAAGACAGGTGTCTCGCCTACACCATAGGTGACACAGGTTGGCAAGAAATCAGTCGAACTTTTTGTATTCGTGCCTATATTTCGCCACACACCAAGCTATCAGGACTGATGTGAATCCCATTGTTAGGATATTCATCAAAGATCCTAAAAGAATTATTTTTGTGGGTCTAATTCTATTGGTCAATTCCTACTGGTCAGAATTATGTTCGTCCTGACTATCAATGTCACTTCAAATGTTTGTTTCCTATTGGTCGTCCTAATTGTCAATGTCACAGGCTTCAATGTTACTTCCTATTCGACCTAAACGTATAAATACGCATTTTCTGTAACGTTTTATGACCAGAACTTGGATCCCTAGTCCGGGATCCTAATTCTCTTCTGGACTCGGACCTCGTGCTTTCTGGATGCTTGTAGAATACAGGTTGTACTTCATATCAAGTCTTCTTCTTTTACTCAATATAGGGGTTGGAACACTCGGATTAGAGTAGCCTGTCGTGTTGCCAGATCCTCGACCCTCGCTCTCGTTTACTGACTAAGGTAAACTCGTAATAATAATTCAAACATATCAAGTTGACATGTTCACATGCATGCATAACACGCATAACATGAATTCGAATGATATAAAAATCATTTCGCCTTCATGATACAATACTTAAAACCCTACTAACAATTATCGACTAACACACATACAAATGCAACATGCGAATGGATGCATTTGCGTCATTGCAAACGATTTTGAGCCATGTCGTCGTAGTTCAAGGTCTCTAACCATTGGTGACTTTCTTCTGGCGGACCCTAACCAGGTAGGTAAGCAGCCTACATCTACCAACATGACTCAGTCCACTTGTTGTCAGTGACTTTTTCATGGATTTGTGCCATGTTTTGGTCTGCCCGCCCCTTACTTTCTTCCAACCTACACCTACACCAAGAAACATAACTCGTCGTGGCAGTCGGTGGTTAGGCATACGTAACACATGTCCCAACCACCTCAACTGATGAAGTTTCAGCACTTCATCTATTGATCTGCCATTCTTACCTAGTACTCGTTTCCTAACGACAGCATTGCTTACTCGGTTGACCCACGATATACGAGCAATGCTTCTTAAACATCTATGATCGAATACTAGTAACCTACGAACATCTTCTAATCTTAACGGCCATGTTTCACATCCATATAAGAGAACGGAGCGAACTGCTGCGCAGTACACGCGTCCTTTGGTTAGCGAACGTATATCACGCCTACGCCATAAGTGACGCAAGTTGGCAAAAGCCAATCGAGCTTTCTGTATCCGCTCTGAGATTTCGTCAGTCACCAGACCATCAGCACTGATGACACTCCCAAGATAAGTGAAGCGGTCTACACGTTCGACTACTTCACTCCCTATCACTAGTTCAGGTGCTGACGCAACCCAATCCTGAAGCAACATTTTGCATTTCGAGGGTGAGAATCGCATCCCGAACATGCTTGCATTGTTGCTTATGGTAGTCAGAATTCTCTGCATTTTGTCAGCGTCTTCACCGAATAGAACTATGTCATTGGCATCCTGCATCTAATTCACATCATTTTTAATCTGATTCATTCGACTATATATTAACAAATTTTTCTCTTGTTCAATATATATACACGTATATATACATTTATTAATTTATACTTAAAATTCAATTAACCTTGAACATTCTCCCATGTAAAAACCACTTGTTGTTTTAATAATAATAATAATGTTTTTTCAATTGTTTTATTTTTCAATTAAATAAATAGACAATGATACCATTACCATCTTTACAAATCAGTCAGTCAGTCAGTCAGTTGCAACGTAAGAACTTCGTACGTATGTACATAAGTTCATGTTACCATACCACATTATTAGCACAGAGACGCAAATGTCAAATCAAATCCCATAGTGATAAAGATAGTAGAGGTATTAATGGTAATGAAGAAGACTAGGGTTCGAAGATATTATTCAAAAAAATATAATTCAGTGAGATAAGGTTAGAAAGACAAAGGTAGACGTGCTGACGAATTCAGAAGATTAGGATTTGAGAGAGCTCAAAGAGTGGATGCACCTGCGCCATTGCAAACGATTTTGAGCCATGTCGTCGTTGTTCAAAGTCTCTAACCATTGGTGACTTTCTTCTGGCGGACCCTAACCAGGTAGGTAACCAGCGCCTACATCTACCAACATGACTCAGTCCACTTGTTGTCAGTGACTTTTTCATGGATTTCTGCCATGTTTTAATACTTAAAATTCAATTAACCCTCGAACATTTTTATGTTAAACTTCTTGTTTTAATGATTCATTCTTTTTCAATAGACAATGATACCATTACCATTATATGTCACCATTGAATTTGTTAAAATGCACCAAGTTTGGTTTATGAATAATGATTTAAAATTATATGATCAACAATTCGATCGACGTATTGAAATACGTTCATTTAATATACCAGAAGATTTAGGTCAAATTGAATATGTATTCACTGATAAAACTGGTACTCTGACTGAAAATAAAATGCGATTTAAACGTGCCAGTATTAATGGTAAAGATTATCATGCGGATGATGATGGTGGTGAGTTTTGTTATTTGTGAGAATTTAACTATTATTATTATGCATTATGGGGTTGATCGAAGTTAGACATTCACATCGTTAGATACCACCGGCTCAATGGTCCAGGGTTCGAATGACTGCGAGGTGCAGGAGAGTGGTGGATGCACACTGCCACTGATGAGTAGTCCCATACATAATACTATAGGACGAAACGGCCGTGTTTCTCAATGCTTCCAGGTTTCTCTAATGGTGTGGTCTAACATTGATCAACTTTATGATTTCAAAAGTATTAATTAATTATCATGAAATTTTTGTATTTTTTTGAGCTATTCCATCATTCTAGAGTGGGACTCATTAGCAGTGTGTATCTATGACTGTCACTCTCTGGGATCGAACCTAAAACCTTCGAACGTTCATCATCTCAACCACCAGAGAGCCGTCATCCGTCGGTGTTAATCATATCTAACTTTGATCAATCTGCAATATTGCGCAACCTCACACATTGTCTTTAGTGGTCACTACTTTACACCCACAAGGGTTGAACTCCAAGTTAGACACTCACATCGTTGAATGCCGACTCGATGGTCTAGAGTCTAAACGTTCGTGGGTGCGAACGAAGGTCATGGATTCGATTCTAATGTATGAAGTTGTGGATGCGCACTGCTGATAAGTCCTCTAGCAGGTTGAAACGACCATCCACTTCTTCCAGGTTTCTAATTATGGTCATTATCTAAGTAAATATCATTTGGTTAGTTTTTAGTAATAAATGGTTACACAACGTTTAGTTAATATCTCTGACTATTGTCAGTCAGTCACAATGTAGAATGTGGTACGTATGTAGATGAGCGAGTGAATACGATTTAAGAAATTAGAAATTAGTGAAACAACAAAAAATTATGAGGAATTCATAAGATTTAAATTTAGGAGAAACCAAATTGAGGATGCATATGCGCTGTTGAAAACAATTTTGAGCCATGTCACTTAAAGTCTCAAATCGCTGGTTACGATTATCACGCGCACCCTAACTAGGAAGTCTATTAACCTATTAACATGGTTTAGCCACCCCTAGATTTATTTCAGCCTACTGCTACATCAAACACCATTATCCCTCAAGGTAGATGGTGGTTGAGCATGCGTAACACATGTCCTAACCACATCAACTGATAAAGATTCACTACTTTATCCATTGATTCGCCATCCTTACTGAGTACTCCATTCCAAAATCAGACAGTGCTTACTCGGTGGTCCATGTTTCCAAACAATCAAATAGAATGGAGTAAACATCTGTTCAGTAAACTAGTTCTTTGATTGGAGGATAGACATCCTGCCCATTCCATAAATGACTGACTGATGTGATAGCTGTTCGCAAATTTTCTAGTTTAGAATTCAGACATATAGGAGATGATCAAAAGTTACCTAGTTTTCATATTATAACTACGACAACACACCGAAGCGTGCCTGAGATCTCTAGGTTTCTTAGCAAATACGACACGATAGAGTCAGAAAAAAGATGTTCATATTTTTAGCGTCCGTGAGTTTTTGGAATTCAGTCTTTTTTTAATAGTCAGTTACTGTATCACCGTCAACTTCTCTATCTGAATGAATAAGTTATAACTTCATACGCTAGAACTTTGAGAAATCTATTTTTAAGCTATTCTCAAATCCAAACATGAATTTAGTCAGTTGATAAGGTCCCATATGGATGTTTCTCATCGTATTTTGAAGATGATAAATCTCACTATCAACTGTAATTATGAATCGATATCAATCATTCAATGAACTCTTACTTACTTACTTACTTACTTACGCCTGTTACCCACAATGGAGCATAGGACGCCCACCAGTTTTATCCAACCAACTCTGTCCTGGGCTTCCCTCTCTAGTTCTTTCCAATGTTTGTTCATTCCTCTCATATCTTTCTCTATTTCTCGGCGTAATGTGTTCTTTGGCCTTCCTCTTTTCCTTTTGCCTTGACGGTTCCATGTGAGGGCTTGTCTCGTGACGCAGTTAGGTGCTTTCCGCAATATGTGTCCTATCCACTTCCACCACTTCTTCCTTATTTCCTCCTCCACTGGAATCTGGTTTGTTCTCTCCCACAGTAAGTTGTTGCTGATGGTGTCTGGCCGACGAATCTTCAGTATTTTGCGTAGACAACTGTTAATAAACACTTGTATCTTATGGATGATGAACTCACTAACTTTAATAATTTACAAACCTACCGTGAAAGCATACTAGTGAATTCGGTTAACTAACCAATGAGATTGAAGATAGTGACAGTGCGCGAAATTCAAAATACAGTATTTCGAAATAAACCTGTATCAATATTGAATTGCTTAGGCTATCAAAGTTGATAAATATGATATTATTACTAAATAAAAAATAGTCATGATTGATAAGTTTTTGATAGTATTTTATAAATATTTCTCTACTTAAAATAAAAAAATACTGACTCTGTAATTGTTCATTTATTTTGAATCACAACTCCTATCTCTTAATCTAAACCTTAAACTCTTTATCATATTTATGAACCTGTTTTGGGTTTTCTCGGTAATCAATAATTTTTTAACATTACTTGCATTCTGATTGGCTGGAAAGAAACTCTACTTATTCTGTGGTGCGCGCTACTTATAAGTAGTATATGACGCGAGTGTAAACGTAATGTCTGGCAGCAGAAGATGGGGGAAGATCAAGAAAGGAAGAGTGAGAACACAATGAAATTTGTATGAAATGCATGAATAAGTGAAATGTCAGACAATGGATTGATGATGGATTGATGATTTGCAAATTAACCGTTTACGATATGGTTTTCCTATTCTACTGAGTAACTCTGTAATTTTCGTAAAATACAATTCGGTTGCCCTCACCTGTGTTCTCCTTCACTACACTACTACTACTTGCATTCTGATTGGCTGGAAAGCAACTCTACTTATTCTAATTTATTTAAAGAGTACTGAAATCTGTTAGTAAGCTATACTTTCACCTAAACCATCATGAACAAATTCTCACAATAAAAATGTTACTAAATTCTTCATGTGTACAACAGGGTTTCTAAAGATGTTGAACTGTAGATTCATTGTCTACTGTGAAGATTACTGTATGATTTGCATTATTAAAGTGATTGATGAAGTGGGAATTCCTTTGATCAACACTAATGTCACCTTAAGAAGGAACACTCGACTAATTCCTAAGATTCTAAAGAATGTGATACATTTGTGTGAGATTTAGTGTTTTGAAATCAACCTTAGTGTTTTCATCACCAATTGACATCAGCACTAATATGCCTGGTCGCTGTTTAGTTAGCCATAATGCATGAACAAATTTCAAGGTAACAACATTCAAGACTTATTATTATCTAGAATCTGATTGGCTCATTCATAAATTATGATAATATCACTGTTGTGTTATAAAGATTTATTTTACTGAGTAATCACGTCGAATATATTTATGATATCAAACTAATATAACCGTATATTATTTATTGATTTTATTGTACTTTATAGAAGATAATCATGAAAATGATGATCAATTGAGTAATACTTCATCACCAGTAAGTTAATTTATACGATAACTTTTTATTCGAATGTGAAATTCTAAGATTATTTCATACAGACTCATGCTTACATTTTGATTGTTCTAAGAACTTCGTGTTAAGGTGTTTTCGAAGCATTACTCGGATCATCGAGTAAGCAGCGTTGTTGTTAGGAAACGAGTTCTAGGTAGGAATAGCAAATCAATAGATGAAGTAGTTAAACTTCATCATTTAAGATGATTGAGACATGTGTTACGTATGCCTAACCACCGACTACCTGGTCGAATTATGTTTTGTGGAAGTTAGGGGCGACCAAACGAGAACATGGCAGAAATCCATGAAGTCACTGACAAGTGAACTGAGTCATGTTGGTAGATGTAGACTACCTGGTTGGGGTCCGCGAGACGAAAGTCTCCGATGGTTAGAGACCTTAAATGACATGACTCAAAATCGTTTTCAGTGGCGCAGGTACATTCACTCTTTGTGTTCGCGCAAATTCTAATCTTCTGAAATCCTCATAACCTCTATCTTTCTCTTTCTTAATTAATTTCACTGAATTATACTTCTTGAATAATTTCTCCGGACCGTGATTTTTCCGATGTGTTTTCATACTGCTCCTATCTCTCCTACTTTGGGATTTGAAATGACTATTGCATCTCTGTGTTAATGTGGTATGGCAACATGAACTGATGTACGTATATACGACGTTCTACGTTGTAAGTGAACTGAACTGAATGTTAAGTATGATCTCTTCATATAACCCAGCTACTCTTTATTGCTTAGTGTTTTTCAGGAAGTTTACGCTGGCGAGGCCACGAGAAGTGGCATCAGGGCTTCCAGAAACACGAAGCGTAAATATTGTTGTGGCTCTATCTGCACTATGTGAGATCAAATTGATGATTTTACTCGGGTCTTGTATGCGCGTTTTGGAGACGCAACATACATCGATCCCCCGGGATTCCAGAGTTTTAAATTATGAAGGCTGTTGCCGTATGTGGCATAGGGTCCGAACAGTAAAAGCTCAAATATTTAATTTAATACGGAGTTTGAAGAGACCAAGAATAATGTTTGGTGAGCTCATACCGTTTGCTTCAGTGGCGTGGGGTGACAAACGATCGAAAGAAGGTTTGATCGAGATAAGAGAGTTATTAAGAGGTATAGAAAGGATTTGATTGTGACCGATTCGGTCTCGTGTGCTTTTATGGGTATGGGGGCGGTTGTCACTTATCAGGTCTCCACATCGTGGAAAGCTGTTTCTTGAGGTTCTGAAAAGGAAGGTAGATTAGTGTTGGTCTTAAAGACCTGAGAGCGTGTTCACAGAGCCCAGGGGATATCTGCTTGAGGTCGGTCATGCAAGGCCTTTTGATGAAAGGTTTTTTGAGTATTAGCTTTGCTCTTAAAAGGCCTTAGTGGGCACCCTTACCCAAGGAGACGGAAATCCGTGAGGTAAGGTCAGGTGTGACATTTTTAGGGTCAACCTTTTCTAACCCTTCCTTCCTTGTGAGAAGGCAGCATTGCTGCAGATGCTGGTTGTCCGAGGGAAACACCTTACTGCTGTCACGCTTCTCTGCAGTCAACAGTGCGACTTCTCCATAAGACCTTGAGCAGCTGCTTTTAGTCTCATCGTTCTCCAATCGACCTGTCTGGCATGGTGGAACCTTCAGGAACCTATGTTGCAGCCAATATAGCTCGGTTGGATCATCACGATATTCTAGCCCAACTACCACGTCAAGGTAGCAGCTACGGTCAGGAGGTCTTCTTCAACTTATCTGCTAGCCCTCTGACTGATCCATGCATGGCTAATCAGTCCGCGTACGTCAACATGTTTTTACTCAGTCTTATGTCCTGCTAACACAGTTAGCTACGATCGTTAATTAAGTGTTTAAGCAAAGTGATCACAGTTATTTGTTCAATTTTTTTTAAAGCTATTGTTGCTTATTTTAAAGCTTTTAAACATATCATGACGGCATTTTCTTCATTAAATCAGATTTTTATCATCTAACCATTGAATAGTTATCGTACAAAAGTCCTAATATGAGACTGTCTGATATGTGACCAGTGGTAGTGAATAGAAGTTCACAGATTCTCAACCTAATGGCAGACAAATGTTGTAACATGAGATACTTTAAATTATCATGTAATACGCAGATCATTGAATTTGTGACTGAGGTGGGATTCTGTTCAAACTGACTGAAGCAAGTGTTTTCAATAGGCAGCCACTCCTCGAACCTTTGATCCACAGGTTTAATTCAAAAGGCACTGAGGCAACGTCGATAGATGCAGTCACATGATAGCTGGTCACCTACAACAGGTTCATACACCTACTGTTCTCTGTCAAGATCTTGCAGTGCACGTGCATTATTCATTTTGAAATGATTATTTTCTAACTCCTCTGAAGGGATTCTCCTTTCCCACAATTATAGTACAGGACACTTGCTTCTCATCCTCTCAATTTCATGAAAAAAGATTCCTTCCATGGTTAGACAGTGAGTAGGACTTCCTTGGTAGCTACCACATACGCATGTCCATATGAAAGTATTTCGTGATAGTGAGCGGACTCTTTCCATCCTCGACTGTACCAGGATATTTGGGGAACTCTTATACTGTGCAAGTATAGATAACTAAAAGTTACAAATACTGAATACGTCTTTGACTCTATCGATTTAGAACAAATCACACTATCATCAACGTTACTACCATCTAGTTTAGTGACTGCATTGAATTCGAAGTAGGGCTGACCACTGACTGTGCCATTCTTACGAATGATCGAGTATGCGATGAAATTCATACTTAGGCGAACTCCATTTATGCCGACAGCTGAATACAATGTTGCGGATACATTTATTCGACACAATCATTCATGCAGACAAATATGAATTTGAAAAGGGTACAAGCAAAGCGAAACGACGTGGAGAAGGTATGCGATGATGAAGCGTGATTAAATATTCATAGTCAAACAAAAAATATTTTTTTGAAACGATGAATCGATCAATGTTAGACCACCATTAGAAACCTGAAAGCACTGGACGGCCGTTTCGTCCTGGTATGGGACTCCTCAGCCCCGTAATGCAAATTACCTGTGCTCACTAGTGACTAGCTTCGTGAGGAATCTTCTCCGAGTTCTAGTGGGAAGACGTCACCAGTGAAGTTCAACCTGTTCGGGTGTAGGCAGTGTCTACCGAAGACTGTGTATGGGGTTGCGCAACTCCATGAATTTGATCAAGTTAGACATTAACACCGCTGGATACCGGCTCAGTGGTCTAACGGTTAGGGCGTTCACGCACAATACCGAAGGTCCTGGGTTTGAATGCTGCGGGGCGCAGGAGTCGTGGATGCGCACTGCTGAGGAGTCCCATACCAGGACGAAACGGCCGTTCAGTGCTTCCAGGTTTCTAATGGTGGTCTAACATTGGTCGATTCATGGTTTCGAAAATTGCGTCACTTAACAATCTTCACAACCCCGTAACGCAAACAGAAAATAGTCTAAAGACATCTAATAAGTCAACTAAGCAGTGCACATACAAATAAAAATAACCATAATAAAAGTGAATAGTTAGAAGGGTCGGAAGACATGTGAATAATGTTTCGAGCTAAAACGATTAATTAGCTCGGACACAAGCCTTGTACACACACATTCGACTTAATATAAACTTTTGATTGTAATTACCTTTCACTGGATTATTTGAAATGGACAATATATAATTGACAATATTAATCAAATCATTTTTTAAACTTTCTTGTTACTGAAATCAAGGATCAATCATTGTTAGATGACCACTATTAAAAACCTGAAAGCATTGGGAGGCCGTTTCGTCCTAGTAAGGCACTCATCAGTAGTGTGTATCCACGACTCCCGGTACTTGCAGGACTCGAACCTAGGACCTTCGGTCTGGCGCGCGAACGCCTAACCTATGCACCACTGAGCCGACATCTGACGGTATAAATGTCTAACTCTGATCAATCTACGCAGTGTCGTTTTAACAATGATTATTGATTCATGGTTTCAGTAATAAAACAAATAATCACCATAACTCTAATTATTACAGACTTTTTTTACTTCTTCTTCATTACTTACAGATACATACTGTAAGAAATTTGACTGTATTAAATAGTATATTAGAGAATAGAACTGTATTTTCCAATCCTCAAAAGAATATTCATCACAATAGTTCACGTAATCATGATGGGATAACAAATAAAACCGCTGAAAAAATTGCAACCAATGATATTAGTACTAGTAGTAGTAATTGTATGCTATTACAAACGGATCGTAACACTTGTTGTTCATCAACATCTTCATCTTATTTATCATCATGTGGACGAAATGTACAAAACACTGTAAGCGTTCAAAAAAGACATGAAGAAGGATCGGCGGATACCACCAACACCACCACCTGTAACAACAATGAAAATATAAATAAGCATCATTCAACTGTAAATCAATCTAACACCATTATTCATTATCAATTATTATTATCAACATGTAATGAAGAAATACGTATACAAGATTATTTTTTAGCATTAGCTATATGTAATACAGCTGTAGTGTCTGTTACAAAGAATACACCGACATTAGTAAGTTCATTTGTGTATTTGTGTATTTTTGATTATGACTATGTGTAATCCGCAAAATATCGCTTAAATCCATGAAGTCATTGACTAGTGGACTGAACTATGTTAATGAGTAAACAATGTTAGTGTCTTAGGTAAAGATAGCAGATTAGTAGAGTAGATGAAGTAGTGAATCTTAATCAGTTGAAGTGTTTGGTACATGTGTTACGTGTCTGCCCAACCACGAACTGCCTAGATGAGTAAAGTTTTGTAGTTTAGGGGTAGGTTGGAAGAAAGCTGGGAGAAGCGTAGATCAAAGCATGGCAAAAATCCATGAGGTAACTGACAAATGGACTGTGAAACATAGCCAGTGAAAGTGGAAGATATTTGTAGGTTACTAGTATTCGATCATAGGTGTCTTCGAAGCATAGGCTCGTATATCCTGGGACACCCGAGCGTGAGCTACGCTGTTAATAAGAAACGGGTGCTAGGTAAGAATGGAAGATCAATAGATGAAGTGGTGAAACTTCATCAGTTGAGGTGGTTAGGACATGTGTTGCGTATGCCTAACCATTGACTGCCTCAACGAGCTTTGTTTTGTAGTGTAGGAATAGGTTGGAAGAACAGCCTTTCAACATGGAGAAAAAGACCAGTCATCAGGTATTTAGCGTAGTTGAAAGACTATTTACACTTATCGACACAAGTAGTGACTGACCTCTATCCACGTAAAGAGAAAAAATATGCTCATAATTCCCTAGTGGATATCAAACAGTAAGGTTAATTATTTTTTAAACTATATAAAATCTTTACATATCGCTGAATTAGGTTTACTTTAACAGGAAAAAAGTTTTCAATGAGAAGGCACTCTAAATTATCAACATATTTCTTAATCGACTGAAGCTGTGTTACGTATGGCTAACCACCGACTGCCGCGACGAGCTGTTTTGTGGTGTACGAGTAGGTTGGAAGAAAGCTAGGGGCGGCCAGACCAAAACATGGCACAAATCCATGAAGTCACTGACAAGTGGACTTAGTCATGTTGGTAGATATAGAATACCTGGTTGAGGTCCGCGAGACGAAAGTCACCAATGCTAAGAGACCTTGAATGACATGGTTCAGAATCGTTTGCAATGGCGCAAGTGCATCCATTCTTTGAGCTCTCTCACAACATCCTAATCTTCTGGATTCGCCAAAAACTCTACCTTTGTCTTTCTAACCTTATCTCACTGAATTATATTTCTTGAATAATAATATCTTCAAACCCTAGTCTTCTTCTTCATTACCATTAATACCTCTACTATCCTTATCACTATGGGATTTGATTTGATATTTGCGTCTCTGTGCTAATAATGTGGTATGGCAACATGAACGTATGTTCATACGTACGCCGTTCTACGTTGCAACTGACTGACTGACTAATCGACTGAAGAAGTCGTTACTACAAACTCATCGCTAAACCAAATAGATAATCTTGAGTTTCTTTGACTGAAAAGTGTTAGGCAGCCACTTCATTAGAATTTCAAACTAAAACGAAACATTTTCCCACAGTTTTTAGTGATTGCTGCCTAATTAAAATTCTTTTGTGATATATATATATATATGTCATCGATATGTCCTTCGAAATGATGTACACTTTTCAGTATATATATTACTCGTATATAAGTAAGTAGTTGAAATATAAATTCGAATTTTTGTTATGACAAAATATTTATATTGATTTCGAGGTATGTGATCAATTGTGTAACCAACCTAATGAGATGATCAAATTTGCATGATTTGATAAGTTTTTGATTGTGCTTACCTTCTATTTGATTTTTTGATTCTCAATGCATGCAGACTTTCTGAATGTTCGATTGTAACCATAAATGTTATATTTTTTTTTTACGTAATGATTTGAAAATGCATTCGTTAAAAATTTGACCAATACCATCTGTCATAAAAAACTTGTTATTCATTTTAATACAAAATAATATTTCAGTAGTATCTTTAATTTCAACAATAATTTATGAGTGAAATTCAAGATCTAATTCCTTCTGAAAAATTTTTTTTCTGATAGATTTTGATAAATTATTTGTTACGATTATTAAAATTAAAATCCTGATCTCGATTATCAGTGTTTTGACGCTGTAATTAATGTGTGATTGCTTGAATTATTCACTCAATGGCAAGAGTTGATGCGGTCCATGAGACAAGCGTTCAGCGATCTCAATAATTAACATTAAGAACCCTCCAACACACCGACGTTGGAATTATATCTAAAGAAATATGAATCTAAATCATAAGACGATCATTGTTAGATCACTGTTAGAAACCTGGAAGCACTGGAAGGTCATTTTGTCCTAAGTATGAGACTCTAAAGCAACGGGCATCCACGACCCTTGCTCACGGGAATTGAACGCAGGAGCTTACTGAGCCAATGATATCCAATGATGTTATTGTCTATCTATGATCTATCTATGGTTTCGTGCAACCTCACTCATTCTCTTCAGTAAGTAACTCCCTCGTACCCAACACGGTTGAACTTCACTAGTCACGGTCTGTCACTAGAACTCCGAAAATTTCTTCATGAATCTAGTCACTAGTGACCATATTATCTGATATTCATTTAGGAGTTATAGCCCTCTTACGAGCAAGCGTTGTTGATGCACACTTCTGAAGAGTCCTTTAATGGGACAAAACGTCCGTCCAATGCTTTCACGTTTCAGATGGCGATCTAACAATGATTTCAATAATGAGAAATAATATCATTCATTTTATATTAACACAATTTAAATAAATTATCTTTTTTCATACAATAGTTTCAAGTACCACCACGTCGTAAAGGATTTCGTGATTTTTTTCGTTCTGGTAAATTAAACTCCATTACACATATGCATCAAAAATTACGTAAAACTAAACTACACCAACAACACCAACAGCCTAATACACCAACCACTGCAACACCAACAACAGATCGAACAGACAATCAACATCATTTATCACGTATTAAACAAACCATCAATTTATCTAATCTATTTTCAAATAAATCACATTCAACTCGATTGGAGAAGAATGCCCACATAGTAAAATATGATAATAGTAATAATAATAATAATACAAGCATTGAATCACCGCCTCATATTCTCATTCATACTACTAACCAACAACAACAACAACCACATCATCTCAAGTCGATTCATCCTAATGGTCATGATGACCTTGTCAGTAATACTGATTATGAAAATACTAGTCAAGAAACCTTCTTAGTCATCGATGATGATGATGATGATGATATTGACAACGGACCACTACAATCAGTGAAAATTGATCATCCTCATCATCATACGAAGGATGCATTGAAAATTCACGGTATACATAGTATGTCAGCCAGAACATCAACATCATCATCATCATCATTCTATCATAATGACCGAATCAACACTAATGATCCATGTTTAAATAAACAATCGGTGGTGTTTTTTTCAAGTCGTTGTTTACCGCCAGTAATTGAAGCATTAGATTTAGATGTATCATTGAAACATTCTCAACATATTTTAAACCAATCACCGATTGGTATCCATGGTGATGATGATGCTGTTGATAAAGTAAAACAAAAACCTATTGAACATTTAATCTCATCATCAACATCACAACAACAACACCACCACGATCAAGTGAATCATTCAAACAACAATGATAATATGTTTATAGAAGGAGAAGAAGGTGAGTTAAAGTATTCTTCCATTTGTTTAGAACAATCAAGTAAATTAAATTGTTTCATTTGTGTATTGATTGTTGAAATCTGTGCATAGATGTGTTTACGATTGTAATTTATTAAATCCCATTTAAAGCATATTTGCATTCTGTATGGATTGTGTTTGATATTATTGCCTATGGGATTATGAGTATGATTAACAGAGGAGGAGGAGGATAGTGGTCAGTTGTGGAATTCAGGATACGCGTTTCTATAGATAGCTAGATAGATACGTGCTACACCCCAGAGTTAATGTTCACTACGAGAGTCAAACCTTACGCTTCGAAACACCATTGCTACTGAGTGCAGATAGCCACTTGCTTGTGCAATGGAGGGATTAAAAAGAATTCATTTGTATTAGTTATTTGAATCTTATCATTGATATTGAGGACTATTTGACATACGTGTATCTCTGGTGAGGATTGTCTGGATATTGATTATAAGGTTAGGATTAGTACGATGAGTACATTGGTGAATTTTTCAGAAATTCATTTATTTGCTTACTTACTTTGTTACCCCTAATGAAGCATAGGCTACCGACCAGCGAATTATTTTTGTCTGGTTAGCGTTTTTTTCTGGTGAGTTGGATTTCTACGGGATGGAGTCACTAACTCCATGCCCAACCTTTCTCATTTATCCTGGCTTGGAACCAGCAGTAACTCCAGAAGAGCCCACAGGAGAAGTTACCCACTTCATCACGGAACCTTGCAGGATTCCAACCCATGACCTTCGGTATTGTGCGCGAACGTCTAACCTCTGCCAGGTTCAGGAGTCATGGATGCGCACAGCTGATGAGTCCAATACCTGGACGAAACGGCCGTCCATTGCTTCGAAGTTTCTAATGGTGGTCTAGCAATGATTGGTTGATGATTTCAGTGTGCAAAAAACACTAATCCCCATAATTCTAATTGAGAATTGATTTGTGTCTTATATAATCACGCTATGGTTTTGGGAAATCAGTTGTATTAACCTCTGTCTCTTTCTTGATATATATTGCCAGTAAGATTGATAGCCCAATGAACCACACAGAACATAGGCCTTGATGCTTAGTGATCCTCAAGCACCTTATAACTCAGTAGCTATTCAAAAGCCGAAAGCAGGAATCAGATCAGTTGTCTATTGTATTCATTGTAATTATTACTCAAACTCATACATTAGTATCGAATAAAATCTTAACCACATTAATAGCATAATCAGAGCAAGCAATGCTTCAGATGCATACATACCTAACTGATAAGCAACCTCCCATTCCTATCGTTAACAATTTTGATTTTTGTTAGGATATTCATCCAATATCCTAAGAGAATTATTGGTCTATTCCTGTTGGTTAATTCTTACTGGTCAATTTTATGGTCGTCCTAGATATCAATGTCACGTGCTCCAATGTTGTTTCTTATTGGTTGTCCTGACTATCAGTGTCACTTCAAATGTTGCTTCCTATTGGTCGTCTTAACTGTGAATGTCACAGACTTCGATGCTGTTTCCTATTCGGCCAAAATATATAAATACGCATTATCTGTAACGTTTTATGACCTGGACGTGGACCTCATACTTTCTGGATGCTTGTAGAATACATGTTCTACTTCACATCAAGTCTTCTTATTTTTACTCATTATGGGGTTGGGATAATCGGGTTAGAGTAGCCTATCGTGTCGCCTGCTCCTAGATCCTCGCTCTCGTTTTCCAACTAGGTAAACTCGTAATAATTCGAACATATCAAAATGACGTGTTTACGTACAGGCGTAACAATTTTGAAGTTTGAAAGAACTTTGCACACATAATAATACCATCAAATTTTTCTGAATTGACATTGTCGTTTAATTGTACCATGATATGCGTTGGGTATTTTTTTTATAAATTACTAATAGATATATTAATCTAAATCAGAAAATTATTTGACCATTATCACCTTAGAAGCAAGAAGTTGATTTCATATTCACGGATGTCGATTATTTACGAAGGCTACTTAGTTACAGTTTATGATAGTTCAGATTGTCTATATGTACTTAGTGACTAATATTTGTGACAAGATAGGGTTGTGAAGATTGTTGAATTTCGTTGGACTGATCAATGTTGGACATCTGTTAAGAACCTGAATACATTGGATGGCGGTTTCATTTTAGCATCGATATGTTCTCCAATTTGATATGCTTGAACTATTACCAGTTTACCTATTCGGTAAACGGAGCGAAATCAACGACACGATAGGCTATTCTAACCTGACCGTCCCAGGCCCCACTAATTAGAGGAAGAAGTTTTGATAAGCAGTAGAAAATGTCCCAGCCCCGGCTAACTAAGGCAAGAAGTCTTGAAAAGGAGTAGAGAATGTATTTCACAAGCACCCAGAAAACACGAGGTTGCTAAGCACACAAATCAGGCTTATACACTGATAGCAACGCCCTTGGTGAGAGCCACAAAGTAGCGAAATAAAATAATCTACCAATCAATGACAGTCAAGGATTTTCGAAGCGAGAAATGTAAGCTGAAGGTCAACTAAGCGTCTCTTGGCACTAAAACATAAAAATTCAAAACTACAGAATCAGGACCTTTTTTAAGTGAGTTCTGGGGATCTAACGTCCCAAACAAGTATGATACTCATCAGTAGTCCACATCCACGACATTCACACTCCAGAATGGAGACTAGGATATTCGGTTTCGTGCGTGAATGCTTTACCCCTTAACTAGTCATCCTTCATCATCTGACCGTGGTAATATACAACTTCAATCAACCCACGACCATCCGTAACCATCATTCATTGACTTCAGTTGGAAGCTGACTCAAACCCATTGAAGTGAAGGAGGACACAGGTGAGGGCAACCGAATTGTTAATCATTAAAATAGGAAAACCATATCGTAAACGGTTAATTTGCAAATCATCAATCCATTGTCTGACATTTCACTTATTCATGCATTTCATACAAATTCCATTGTGTTCCCACTCTTCCTCCCTTTCTTGATCTTCCCCCATCTTCTGCTGCCAGACATTACGTTTACATTCGCGTCATATACTACTTATAAGTAGCGCGCACCACACCATCACCGTTGAACTCCATTAGTCATGTCTTCTCACTAGAACTCTGAGAATTTCTTCACGAAGCTTAGTTATCAGTAAGCACATCATGATATAAGGGTTCTACAGACTGTGTTGAGTTTCATTCAAATCATGAGATTTATTTACATTAAACGTCACATACGTTGTTGATCAGTAGTAATTCTTTTATTTTTTATACATGAAAACTTTCTCACTGCATTACAGATTTTGAATCGACATCAGCAGCAGCTGATCATGGTGGCTTCAATTCGCGGAGTGACCAATGTGATCCAATGGAAAGTCCTATTCTACCTAAAGATTTACAGCTGAATTTAATCAAAGTGAATAATACAGAAAATCGTTTAGGCGGCGATGATGAATTAGAAATTATCAATACAGCTAGAACTGTCACTATACGTATACACAATGGGAGTTCGCTGGAATTGCCTATTGAATCCGATATTCATGTACAATCCTCATCGGAATTAAAAAATCAATGTCCATTATCCGACACTACATTGTACAATTCATATGAATCAGAAAGTCCTGATGAAATATGCTTAGTGAAAGAGGCATGTAAACGAAATTATAAATTATTACAACGTGGTGTTGATTTTGTATTAATGTGGCTGCCAAGTAAGTGAATTCAATATAATCTCTCTATGTATTGGTTTTATTATTATTGTGTATAATAAAATGGGATATATGTATGTATATAACACTTCCTTAGGCTTGTTACTCTCAATGGAGCTATAGGCTGCCGACCAGCATTCTTCAACCTACTTGTCCCCTAGGTCTTCCCTTCTAGTTCTACCCGACTTCTGCTCATTCTCTTCGTGTTTGCTTCCAATTCTCTGTGTAATTTGTTGTTTGGTCTTTTGACCTTGAAGATTCCAGGTTGAGGCTTGCCTTGTGATGAAGTTGGGTGATTTCCTCAATGTGTGTCCTATCGATCTCTAGCGCTTTTTTCCAATTCCTTACTCAACTGGAATCTGGTTTGTTTTCGCCTACGACAGGTTATTGCTGATGGTGTCTGGCCAACGGATCTGGAGCATCTTGCGTAGACAACTAACTGTTAATGAATGCTTGTATCTTGTGGATGATAGCTTACGTAGTTCTCTAAGTTTCCGTCCCATACAGTAGAACTGTCTTGATATTTGTATCTATCTCTTCATACTACGGCATGTATACCATATTTTACTGATTCCTTATATGAATGAATCACGTATAGAATTAAGACGTGAATGAGTTACGGGCAATCATTATTCTTATACTAAAAAAACGAAGATAATCTTTCGTATTTTTGTGAAAATTTCAATACAATCTCTCTATGTATTGATTTGATTATTGTGTATAATAAAATGGGATATATGTATGTATATGACACTTCCTTAGGCTTGTTATGCCCAATGGAGTTATAGGCTGCCGACCAGCATTCTCGAACCTACTTGTCCCCTAGGTCTTCCCTTCTAGTTCTACTCAATTTCTGCTCATTCTCTTCGTGTTTGCTTCCAATTTTCTGTGTAATTTGTTGTTTGGTCTTCATTTTTTACTTTTGGCCTTAAAGATTCCAGGTTGAGGCTTGCCTTGTCGTGAAGTTGGATGCTTTCCGCACTGATTGTCCTATCTACTTCCACAGCTTTTTCCTGATTTTCTCCTCCATTGGAATCTGTTTTGTCCTCTCCCACAGAAGGTTGTTGCTGATTTTGTCTGGTCAATGGATCTGGAGCATGTTGCGTAGACAAGTGTCAATAAACACTTGTATGTTCTTGGTGATGGCTTTCGTAGTTCTCCAAGTTTTTGCTCCAAACAGTAGAACTGTCTTGATATTTGTATCCATCTCTTCACAACCTTCTTTTTATTGTACGGTGTGTATATATATTTTACTGACTCCTTATATAAATCACGTATAGAATTAAGACGTGAATGAGTTGCAGGCAATCTGTTTTTTGTGGGCAATAAGTCAGAAAAGTTATTGCCAGTACCCTACCACCTACCAACCATTCTCTACAATTCTAGTTGGCATTTTTATCTGTCTTATACAGACACATAATTAATAGTACAAACGAACACCAAGAAATATGCATCACACAACTCATTGAATTTGTAAGTGGGTTAGGATACTACTGTCAGGCTACTCAAATCGAAGTAGATACTTTTCTCAGAAGGTCACCACTCTCCAAACCTATGACCTACATGTCTAATCCAAAAATCATTGAAGTAACACGGTGACCGATGACCAACACAGTAGGTTCATATGTCATTAGTTCACGTCAGGATCCTAGAGCTTATATACACTGTTGATTTGAAATCAAAGTTTTCCAATTTTCGTTGGTGAATCGCCATACTCACTAATCCGGTTTAATCTTCATACATTTGCTTTCCATATTTTCAATATCATAAACAACTCCACGACTATAAAGAAGGCAGTAAGCAGAATTTCCCTAGTAGTGGCTAATGTGCACGTGTTCTAGGGAAAATACTTTGAGAAAGAGTGATCTCGCCTCACTTTTGTCCGCACTAGGGCATTTGGGGGCTCTCTAGACTGTTTTATAATCGTAATTGAAATTCATACTCACGGGAATTGCGCATGTTGCCTAGCAAACTCTGATTTAGCTGTCTCAGCTGGTAAATTAATAGTAGTAGTAGGTATGTATATATATATATATATTTTTATATGTTCACTTTCGAAGCATTCAAATCTTCATAAATTACTTGCTTACTTACGCCTGTTACCCACAATGGAACATAGGCCGCCCACCATTTTCCTCCAACCAACTCTGTCCTGGGCTTCCCTCTCCAGTTCTGTCCAATGTTTGTTCATTCATCTCATATCTTTCTCTATTTCTCGGCGTAATGTGTTCTTTTGCCTTCCTCTTTTCCTTTGACATTGAGGGTTCCATGTGATGGCTTGTCTCGTGACTCAGTTCGGTGCTTTTCGTAGTGTGTGTCCTATCTACTTCCACAGCTTTTTCCTGATTTTCTCCTCCACTGGAATCTGGTTTGTTCTCTCCCCCAAAAAGGATGTTGTTGATGGTGTCTGGTCAACGGATTCGGAGCATCTGACGTAGACAACTGTTAATAAACACTTGCACTTCTGGATGATGGCTTTGGTAGTTCTCCAAGTTTCCGCTCCATACAGTAGAACTGTCTTGACATTTGTATTGAAAATCCTGATTTCGGTTTTGTTTGAAAGTTGTTTGGAGTTCCAGATATTTTTCAACTGTAGAAATGCAGCCCTTGCTTTGCCAATCCACGCCTTCACATCTGCATCGGATCCACCTTTCTCGTCGATGCTTTATAAATTGAAATTAATTTAATTTTAAGGTGAAAGTTGGAAAAGTTGAATTTTATAAGTTATTTGGGCTCATAAGTGCTCTGCAACGTCCGAGAGTATGGAGGATTCATTCTCACTCTTAAACTACTCTCCCATGGCTTTGCGTACATAGCCGCTACCAGAGAAGTTCTATTTACTGCCTTCTTATGGGCTGGGGTGTTGTAAAATGAAATTGAAGGAACGAGAAAAAGCAACTGAGTGAGTATGGCGACTCCACCTACAAAAGTTGGAAAACTTTGATTTCAAATCAACAGTGTGTATAAGTTTCAGGATCCTGATGTAATTTAATGACGTATGAACCTACTGTTGATCACTGATCACTGTAGGACTATATCTCCCTAATATTGCTTCACTGACTGGTTGTTCAAACACATAAATCATAGGTTTGGAGAGAGCGACCATCTGAGAAATGTACCTACTTCGGGTTTGAGTAACCTGACAGTATTATCCTTCCTAACCCACTTGCAAATTCAATCACTTGTGTGGTGCATTTATATCTTGTTACTTCTTTGTGTTAGGATATTCATCCAATATATCCTAGGAGAATTATTGGTCTATTCCTATTGGTTAGTGCCTACTGGTCAATTTTATGGTCGTCCTAGATATCAGTGTCACGTGCTCCAATCTTGTTTCTTATTGGTTGTCCTGACTATCAATGTCACTTCAAATGTTACTTCCTATTGGTCGTCTTAACTGTCAATGTCACAAACTTTGATGCTGTTTCCTATTCGACCAAAATGTATAAATACGCATTATCTGTAACATTTTATGGCCAGGACCAGGACCCGGTCCCTTATCCCTCTAGTTCGGGATCCTGATTCTCTTCTGGACTCGGATCTCATACTTTCTGGATGCTTGTAGAATACACGTTCTACTCCACATTCAAGTCTTCTTATTTTCACTCAACATGGGTGGTTGGGATAATCGGATTAGAGTAGTCTATCGTGTCGCTGGATCCTCAATCTTCGCTCTCGCGTTTCCGACCAAGGTAAACTCGTAATAATAATTCAAGCATATCAAGTTGACGTGTTTACATGCAGGTGTAACACTTTGTATCAATGTTAATCTGTTTACATAAATAATTGTGATGTAATCATATTATTTTTATTGTATTATTATTATTATTTTATCCTATTAGAAGATGGACTTGTCTGTATTCATGTACTACGTATTCTACCATTCGATTCACAACGTAAACGTATGTCCATTTTATTTCGTCATCCATATACAAATGAACCAATTTTATTTACAAAAGGTGCCGATTCATCAATTATGAATCGTTTAGATAATACAGGTAGGTGATAAATTATTATTTTTAAAATAATTACTAAATCTTACTAAAAAAAACTATTTAAATATTCTCCATATATATAGAGAGAGAGTTATGGGGATTGTTTGATTGTTTGATTGAAGATATGAATTGATGATTGTTAGATCACTATCTAGAAACTTGAAAGCATTGGACAGGTGTTGCACCATCTTAGTGTGGAACTTAACAGTAGTGCTTTTTTTCTATATGAAGTGTTAACACATCAGAAATAAAGTTTAAAGAAATTTTAACTGACAGAAATAATGTTTAGATCCAATCAATCAATAGCAACGTAGAACTTTGTACGTACGTACGTCAGTTCATGTTGCCATATCACATTAGCACAGAGAGATATAATTGTCAATTCAAATCCAATAGTAGTAGTAGTAGAGGTAGTAAAGGTATTATTAGCAGTAGTTGGAGAGGTTAGGATAAGAAGATATTATTCAAGAAGTAGAATCTAGCGAAATAGACTTAAAAAGATAAAGATGAAATGATGAAGAATTCAAAAAGTTTAGGATTTGAGAGAAGCCAAAAAATGAATGTACCTTTGCCATTGCAAACGGTTTTAAGCCATGTCATTCAGGGTCTCCAACCGTCGATTATTATAATCTCGCGAACCCCAACCAGGTAGTCAACACTTACCGACATGACTCAGTCCACTTGTCAGTGGCTTCATGGATTTCTGCCATGTTTTGGTCTGGCCGCCCCTAGCTTTCATCCAACCTACTCCTACATCGGAAAATATAGCTCGACGAGGTAGTTGGTGGTTAGGCATGCGAACACATATCTCAACCACCTCAACTGATGAAGTTTCAATACTTCATCTATTGATCTGCCATCCTTACCTATTACTCGTTTCCTAACGACAGCATTGTTTACTCGGTTGTCCCAGGATACACGAGCAATGCTTCGGATACACCTATGATCGAAAACCAGTACCCTATCAATATCTTCTACTCTGACTGGCCATGTTTCACAGCCATAAAGTAAGACAGAGCGAACTACTGCGCAGTACACTCGTCCTTTAGTCAGCAAACGGATACTTCGCCTACGCTATAAGTGACGCAGATTGGCAAAAGCCAATCGAGCCTTCTGTATCCGAGCTGAGATTTCGTCAGTCACCAGGCCATCAGCATTACTGATGAGACTCCCCAGATGAGTGAAGCGGTCTACACGTTCGACTACTTCACTCCCTATCACCAGTTCAGGTACCGATGCAACCCAGTCTTGAAGCAACATTTTGATTTGGAGGGGAAAACCACATCCCGAACATGCTCGCATTGTTGCTTATGGTAGTGAGAAGACTCTACATTTTTTCAGCGTCTTCACCGAATAGAACTGTTCGCGGTCGTTACGTAGGCTTTTTATCAGTCTGCGCCTAAGCTGACTACGCTCATCATCATGTTTAGAGTCAGTTGGGATGATCAGATGACTCTGCATTTTGTCAGCGTCTTCACCGTATACATATATATCAGTTGTTAGGATTTTAGTGTTCCCGTAATCTCACTACAATTTAGATGAATCAATGAATATTCCATGAAAGAAATTCTCCTCTTTGATTTCTGTATATTATGCGTAGGCGAACCCGGTTTGTATGACGGTTGTAACAGGAACCTGAATACAAATACGATTGGATAAGTTTATTTCATGCACTTGTTCACTCAGGCAAACATGAAGTTACGAAGCTCAAAGACATAGCAAAGGAGGGTGGAGAAGGCAAATGTGCCAACTCAATGAGATGAGCCATAGCTAAATATCTGTAGTCAGACAAAAATAAGCTTGACATGTAATAAGCGAGTGAAGTAAACATGCACACAGTCAAATTAGAACAACCAAGGTTATGAGCTAATAATAGACAACGTCAATAGCTTTAGAATAGTAAATCAGGCAGAAAAAGTTTGTCAATTCGTTCAAAAGCTAGAACAAGCCCTGTGACCTTAACATATTGGGTACACACACACACTACAAGATTTATCCGTTGACTTTTAAAACTACAATTGACCAATCTTTCTTACATATATGCTGATTGCCTTGATATTGCCATTAGGTCACAAGTATTTTCAATTAAGATGGTTGGTAGCTAGCAGGGCAATCTAGGATGTGTATTTTATCCTGTATGGAACTTGTTAGCTACCCTCATAAGTGTTAGTCACACTGGTACTTGAACCTAGTACCATTGCTTTGAACTCAGCAATCCTAAAAAGAGACTGTTTATTTGTAATTCTTAAGCATCAATGAAAAGCTCCAAACTACTTATGAAAGGGAATTAAAATTCACTGCATTGAGTAACTCGTCAGTGACTATTTGAACTCAATGCCTAAGTGGGTATTGCGATGTCTTTTCAAGTGATGGAAAAACACTGTCCTCACTGCTTGCGATACCTATGTTTACTGAGGCTAGGAATAGTGTATGAAGCTTATGAGTTACCTGGAATTGGGTGGTAGTTGCGTCTACCTTGATATGAGCCAACTCTATCCCATCTTCATCACACACATTGAGGAAATCACCCAACTACATCACAAGGCAAACCATCAGCCAGAGGCAAAGAGAAAAGCCAAGGAATACGTTACGCCGAGGGATGGAGAAAGACATGAGAAAATGAACAAAAATTGAGCAGAACCGGAAAGGGAGGCCCATGACAGAGCAGCTCGGAGAATGCGGAATGGCGGCCAATGTTCCGGCGTAAGTAAAGTATGTAAGTACAATCTGCAAAAGTGGTTTGTAAGCAGTATGCAGAAGAATGTTAGTGTGAAGTTACTACTTGATAGAAGAATTATCGGATCCGAATGTATGACGTGATCAGAGTGTTTTAAACATTAAAAGACTGTTCCTTTAAACCAATCATTTATTATTCCATTAGTCCTTGACGCTTTTGTTTACCAAAAATTCATCAAACCAACAACGCAGGTCACTTGTAATCTTATTCCGAACATAATTAGACTTCATCACTTCTATTAATTCAAATGAGCATATGAGAAAAAAAGTAACCTAAATGATAATTATTCATGAATTTCATTCTATTTCTAAAAATGAATATTTTCATCATGAGAAAAACACAGTTATTAATGCGTTGTTACATCAACTCATATTTCAATAATGCCAAACGCTCGACGTAACCCAGCCTTGAAGTAACGTTTTGCATTTCGAGGTGGAGAACCGCATCCTGAACATACTTGCTTTGTTGCTCAAGGTGGTCAGATGACTCTGCATTTTGTCAGCGTCTTCACCGTGTACATATACATATACATACATTTTAAAACTACAATTGATCAATCTTTCTAACATATATGCTGATCGCCTTGATATTGCCATTAGGTCACAAGTATTTTCAATTAAGATGGATGGTAGCTAGCTAGCAGGGTAATCTAGGGATGTGCGTTTTATCCTGTATAGAACTTGTCAGCTACCCTCATAAGTGTTAGTTACACTGGTACTTGAACAACCTAGTACCATTGCTTTGAACTCAGCAATCCTAAAAAGAGACTGTTTATTTGTAATTCTTAAGCATCAATGCGAAGATCTAAACTACTTATGAAAGGCAATTAAAATTCACTGCATTGAGTAACTCGTCAGTGACTATTTGAACTCAATGGCTAAGTGGGTATTGCGATGTGTTTTGAAGTGATGGAAAAACACTGTTCTCACTGCTTGCGATACCTATGTTTACTGAGGCTAGGAATAGTGTATGAAGCTTATGAGTTACCTGGAATTGGGTAGTTGCGTCTACCTTGATATGAGCCAACTCTATCCCACCTTCATCACTAAATGTAACTTTAGCTTTTTAGTAAGTTTCCGTTATGTTCTAAAGGTACCTTGTATACTGTCGGGCGTGTGCGAAGCAGTATATGGGGTTGGTTATCTGGAAGAGGAAAGAATATGAGAACAGCTGAGCCAACAATTCAGTAAGCACATGTTTTATTAGCTTCATGTATGGATAATTTAATTGAAAATTTTGATTTGTTTTATACTAATGCAATGTGTTTTATTTTGTTTTATTTCCCTTCAAGAATTAAATTCACCAGAATTAGTAATGAATACACAAGAACAAATTGATCATTATTCACGTTTAGGTTTAAGAACATTAGTTATAGCTGAACGAGTAAGTATTATTACAATTATTATCTATTAATAGTGTCGTCTTGTTATATGATTTATGGTTGTCAATTTGTTTGTTGATGATGATTTTGTTAGGATATTCAACATCCAATACTCCTAATAGAATTACTGGTCTATTCCTATTGGTTCATTCCTGCTGGTCAATTTTATGGTCGTCCTAGATATCAATGTCACTTCAAACGTTGCTTCATCATGAGACTGCATCTCCCTAACGTTGCTTCACTGAATTATGGTTCAAACACATAGACCATAGGTTCGAAGAGAGTGACCTACTGAGAAATGTACCTATTTCGGTTTGAGTAACCTGACAGTAGTACCCTAACCCACTTACAAATTCAATCACTTGTGTGGTGCATTTATGTCTTGCTGTTTCTTTGTGTTAGGATATTCATCCAATATCCTAAGAGAATTATTGGTCTATTCCTATTGGTTAATTCCTACTCGTCAATTTTATGGTCGTCCTAGATATCAATATCACGTACTCTAATGTTGCTTCCTTTTGGTTGTACTGACTATCAATGTCACAGAATTTGATGCTGTTTCCTACCTGACCAAAATGTATAAATACTCATTATCTGTAACGTTTTGTGACCAGGACCAGGACCAAGACCAGGGCTCGGTCCTGGATCCCTGATTCTCTTCTGGATTCGGACCTCGTACTTTCTGAATGCTTGTAGAATACAGGTTCTACTTCATATCAAGTCTTCGTATTTTACTGAAAAGGCGGGTTGGGATAATCAGATTAGAGTAGCCTATCGTGTCACTGGATCCTCGATCCTCACTCTCGTATTCCGACTAGGTAAACTCGTGATAGTTCAAGTATATCAAGTTGACGTGTTTACGTGCAAGCGTAACAGATTTCGTCAATGTTTTATTTTAACATATCAAAGAACACCAATACTGCATTGAAATATTTGACTTGAGTTCTAAATAAGTGCAAACACCCCATGTACCTATATTCATTGTTGCCTGTTATCCCTTAGTAGAGCATAGGCTGTCGACCAGCATTCTCCACCAAACTGTGTCATGAGCCGTTCTTTCTAGGTCTATCCAAGTGCTGTTCATTCTTTTCCTGTCTGCTTCCAATTCTTGGCGTCATGCGTTCTTTGGTTCTCCTCTTCTTCTTCGGCCTTGATAAATGTTAGACTACCAT